ATCAAAAATCTGATTTTACTTGTCCATTTAAACCACTGTAAATCCACTCCACAGTGGCCTATCAACTTGGAACTTGTCATCACTATCATGGATGTCCCTGAGATTAACCAAACAGAATTTGGTATTGATACAGTATCTGGAAAAAAACAAGGAATTTATGAACAACTCATTTTTGGGATATGGAACGCTACTGCTCAAAATCGTCTGCAATCTTCTTCTCCTCATTAACCATACGTCAGATTAACTCAGGATTTTGTATTTCGACTCATTACATCAATCTTTAATGTTTTCGCGAAAAAAAGAGTTGCATTCAAATATGGCCGCACTGTACCTATAGATGCATGTTAGCACATATGCTAATGCTCAAAATACTTTTAAAATCTTATTCTCATAAACTATAAGTCATATTGACTCCAGAGTTGGTATATAGACTCAATGAATCAGCCTCTAATGAAGTTGAGAATTATTAGTTGCTGCATTCAAAGTTGGCCACGCTACACAACTATATTGCACCATTTCACAACAGGGCTATAAGATCTGAACTGATGGACATGGGGCCATGACATTTAGTAAACCTTATGTATATGTCCTTGGAAGCTATGTGAATGTAAAGTCACTGTAACCTTAGATGGCTGCACCAGACCAGTTGGTGGCACTATAGATGTCATTGGCACCACAGGCTACTAGAGCAATAACTATTGGTCAGGTGGACTGCAAATGAATGTTAGATTGAAATTATGCAGACAAATATTTCACAACTCTTAACATAAACCATTAGTCAAATTGATCCCAGAATTTGTGAATAAAATCAATACGTTAAGTAATGACTTTAAGAATGATTACTTTGCTGCAATCAAAGATAACCAACCTACAACACTAGACTAAACTTCACTAGCGTCATCCTCGCGGTATTGAGAGATAAACATGGTAATGCTGTCACTGATTGCACATAAAGGGAGATAGTTCCTACATGACAGAGTGCTTGCTTTGTTATCCAACTGATCTTGTGTCCTTTCTGTCATCCTGTGAACCCCGTTCACTGCTGCTCGCCGCTATATTTTATATTATTTTTGAAGACACCAGTGCATTTCATATCATGTCATACTTCTTATCATGTTTTAAGTACAATTTCCACTCAGCAAGAGATACTTCCTTATTTGCGTAACTCAAATATTTCCTCTGTTGATGCCTATTGGAAATCACCAAATTACAATTTCTGACTGTTTTAAGAGAAAAACATTATATTCAGTATTTCAATTGTATTCTTTTTTTTTTTTTTACAGCAGGATAACTTTTTGAAATGTATCATCTCCTGGGTTTAAGGTAGGGGTGTTTGTGTGTTTGCTCTTCAGCAGATGACAGCCCCGCTCTACAAATCTAACACCCAACGTTCGCACTCAAAAATGTGTTAATATGTCTGAGTCATTGTAGCAGATCTCACCATACATCTTTATTCACGTGTATTTCACACCACTTCCCAGCGGTTTTCCACATACTGTATGATTACTGTACTCTGAGGGTCCAGAGGGAACTGTCTCATTTATGCAAGGGTTTTCTCCTCTTTTTCTCCTCTTCCTGGTGTGAACAAACAGGGCTGAGGGATGTGGGTTGAGAGGCTGCTGTGCTGCCTGAACTGACACCACAGAGGACTAAGAACAGATAAAACACTCAGATAAGAGATTAACTTGACTTAAAGATAGTCATGCGTTTCATAAATGAGAGAGAGGAGAGAGAGAGAGAGAGATGGTATCCTCAATGAAATAATAAAATATACAGACCACAAATTTCAATTAGCTATGCTTGAACTCTTTAACATCATCCTTAGCTCTGGCATCTTCCCCAATATCTGGAACCAAGGACTGATCACCCCAATCCACAAAAGTGGAGACAAATTTGACCCCAATAACTACCGTGGGATATGCGTCAACAGCAACCTTGGGAAAATCCTCTGCATTATCATTAACAGCAGACTAGTTCATTTCCTCAGTGAAAACAATGTACTGAGCAAATGTCAAATTGGCTTTTTACCAAATTACTGTACGACAGACCACGTATTCACCCTGCACACCCTAATTGACAAACAAAAAAACCAAAACAAAGGCAAAGTCTTCTCATGCTTTGTTGATTTCAAAAAAGCTTTTGACTCAATTTGGTATGAGAGTCTGCTATACAAATTGATGGAAAGTGGGGTTGGGGGAAAAACATACGACATTATAAAATCAATGTACACAAACAACAAGTGTGCGGTTAAAATTGACAAAAAAACACACACATTTCTTTCCACAGGGCCGTGGGGTGAGACAGGGATGCAGTTTAAGCCCCACCCTCTTCAACATATATATCAACGAATTGGCGAGGGCACTAGAACAGTCTGCAGCACCCGGCCTCACCCTACTAGAATCTGAAGTCAAATGTCTTCTGTTTGCTGACGATCTGGTGCTTCTGTCACCAACCAAGGAGGGCCTACAGCAGCACCTAGATCTTCTGCACAGATTCTGTCAGACCTGGGCCCTGACAGTAAATCTCAGTAAGACAAAAATAATGGTGTTCCAAAAAAGGTCCAGTTGCCAGGACCACAAAAACAAATTCCATCTAGACACCGTTGCCCTAGAGCACACAAAAAACTATACATACCTCGGCCTAAACATCAGCGCCACAGGTAACTTCCACAAAGCTGTGAACGATCTGAGAGACAAGGCAAGAAGGGCCTTCTATGCCATCAAAAGGAACATAACATTTGACATACCAATTAGGATCTGGCTAAAAATACTTGAATCAGTTATAGAACCCATTGCCTTTTATGGTTCTGAGGTCTGGGGTCCGCTCACCAACAAAGAATTCACAAAATGGGACAAACACCAAATTGAGACTCTGCATGCAGAATTCTGCAAAAACATCCTCCGTGTACAACGTAAAACACCAAATAATGCATGCAGAGCAGAATTAGGCCAATACCCGCTAATTATCAAAATCCAGAAAAGAGCCGTTAAATTCTATAACCACTTAAAAGGAAGCGATTCCCAAACCTTCCATAACAAAGCCATCACCTACAGAGAGATGAACTTGGAGAAGAGTCCCCTAAGTAAGCTTGTCCTGGGGCTCTGTTCACAAACACAAACATACCCCACACAGCCCCAGGACAACAACAACAACAACACAACTAGACCCAACCAAATCATGAGAAAACAAAAAGAGAATTACTTGACACATTGGAAAGAACAAACAAAAAAACAGAGCAAACTAGAATGCTATTTGGCCCTAAACAGAGAGTACACAGTGGCAGAATACCTGACCACTGTGACTGACCCAAACTTAAGGAAAGCTTTGACTATGTACAGACTCAGTGAGCATAGCCTTGCTATTGAGAAAGGCCGCCGTAGGCAGACCTGGCTCTCAAGAGAAGACAGGCTATGTGCACACTGCCCACAAAATGAGGTGGAAACTGAGCTGCACTTCCTAACCTCCTGCCAAATGTATGACCATATTAGAGACACATATTTCCCTCAGATTACAGCGATCCACAAAGAATTAGAAAACAAACCCAATTTTGATAAACTCCCTTATCTACTGGGTGAAAAACCACAGTGTGCCATCACAGCTGCAAGATTTGTGACCTGTTGCCACAAGAAAAGGGCAACCAGTGAAGATCAAACACCCATTGTAAATACAACCCATATTTATGTTTATTTATTTTCCCATTTGTACTTTAACTATTTGCACATTGTTACAACACTGTATATATACATAATATGACATTTGAAATGTCTTTATTCTTTTGAAACTTCTGAGTGTAATGTTTACTGTTAATATTTATTGTTTATTTCACTTTTGTTTTACTATCTACTTCACTTGCTTTGGCAATGTTAACACACGTTTCCCATAACAATAAAGCCCTTAAATTGCAAATTGAAATTGATTGATAGAGAGAGAGAGAGAGAGGAGAGAGGTAGAGAGAGAGAAGAGAGAGAGAGGAGAGATAGGAGAGGAGAGAGGAGAGAGAGATAGAGAGAGAGATGAGATAGAGCAGAGCTCAAGAGAAAGACTCTCTCTCTCTCTCTCTCGAGCTCTCTCGCTCTTCTCTCGAGACTCTCTCGTCTCTCTCTCTTCTCGATGATCGCCTCGTCTATCTTCTCGCTATGCTATCCTCTCTCTCTCTCGCTCTGTAATCTCTCACTTCCGTCTGCCTAGTAGGGAGAGAGAGAGAGAGGAGTAGAGAGAGACCATGCCGGAAGTAGCGATGGAGGTCTAGTATGTGAGCACTTTTCTTTTCAACTACTGGGGAGGAGTCAGATGAAGAGGGAAAATGCTGAAACCACAACAGGTTTCATAATGTGTCACAGACCCCAATGTCCCCAGTGTATAACTACCCACACGTTCAGCAAAGATAAAGCACAACAGGCCAACAGAGTTGAAATGTAAAAAACATTATGCATCCGTAATAATTGTTTTTGTGTGAAAACACACTGAGCAAATATATAATATATGTTATAAACTGGGTGGTTCGAGCCTTTAATGCTGATTGGCTGACAGCTGTGGTATATCAGACCGTATACCACGGGTATGACAAAACATGTATTTGTGCTGCTCTAATTACGTTGGTAACCAGTTTATAATAGCAATAAGGCACCTCAGGGGTTTGTGGTATATGGCCAATATACCACGGCTAAGGGCCGTGTCCAGGCACTCCGCGTTGTGTCATGCATAAGAACAGCTCTTAGCCGTGGTATATTAGCCATATACCACACCCCCTCGTGCCTTATTGATTAAATATACCAGTTGGGAGACCATGCCCTCCTTCTCTGAAGATCAGTCAAATGTCTAAACACACTTAAAGCCAGCCTGCACTAACAAACATATGTATTTTGTGCGTATCTGATGCTGTGTGTCTTAGAGGAAAGAGCAGAAGTGGAGGGAAGGAGATCTGTGGCGTAGATTGAATGGGACTTCCTGTAAAATAAGGTAAAGTACAGAGTCTCAGCTAGCTGTGACATCACTTGTCGCGAAGCGCTGAGGGACCAGAGGCGAGGTTTAGGGTGAGGGGAACACATTCAGGAAGCTGTGTCCGCTGATAAGACCGGAGGGAAGACATACGTAAAGACAAATACACACAATTTCAACTTATTTTTGTTTTGTTTTGTTGAAAATAAGACGGATAAATTGTAAGGGTTTCTTTTGGTGTTCCCTTTAGAGCGTATGGTCTCTGGGTAGAGTGATCGTCGCTCCTGGATATGGCAGGTCTCTATGGACTGAAGATCCTGCTGCTATGGGCTGGGCTCATATGTAAGTACAGTATGATACCCAGGGGATGGGGTTCATGGGAGGGGTGTTATCCCTTTAATGGGGACAGGGCTGTGGGGCCTAAATTCACCAATAAAGAATATGGTGATTGTTTTAGAAAATGTATACTGATGCGGTCACTCAAAGGGTGCAAGAGTGCACATAACAATGTTGATAAATCAAATTTACTTGAGGCATTTTTCTACAGGCATTTGTAATGTTGACAGTGGATCAATCATTTTTGAGAGAGTGATAAAGGGCTGTGGTTGAAGCAGGATATGGTATACTTTTTTCAGACCATTCGAAATGCAATATCTTTGTTAGGGTTTACTGTTAACACTGAATTGGAATAGAGTAACTCTGAGATTGTCCTTCTAAACTGTCTGGGTGGGCGTTACCTGGAGGACTAACTTTTAAAGAGGAGTAAGGTGAGTTGGTCCCCTCATGTTCCCCTCAGAGAAAGGACACGCCTGATTAGTGATTAGTCAAGTTTTTACTCTTAACTTGGTCCACTGAAATGCTTTCACTGATTGGATATCTATCTAGATCAGGGACTTAACATCTAAGTAATAATCTGAAGCTAATACCTGCCTTTCACTGTGCGAACAATGCTACATCCAAAACCTCTTGCTCCGTGTGAAAAAGTGCAGCGTTGTTTGTGTACATTTAGCATGGATCTCCAATACATGTGAAAGTTCTGAATGTAGAATGTACTTCTACCAACTGCAGTAAGACACATAGAGTTTAGATGTGGGGTTCTTTTCAGACAGATCACAGCTCAACCACTTCCGTGTTCCATTTTGAGCGGCCTGTCTGCACTTCCTGGTATAGCTATAGCTGAGATCAGGGCCGGTTCTTCCGTTCTGCCACCCTAGACTTGACCAAAAAAGGCACCGGCAAAACTAGAATAGTCCCAGTAAGCAAAACTAAGTTGAAAAGAGGTCTAAAATACGTATTTCCCAGACGTTGAAGTTACGTTCAATTTAGGTTCTCAATGAAAGGTGAAAATATGTGTTTTCTGTACGTTTAAAATACATATTTTCCAGGATGTTGAAATCAGGCTCTGAATTAAAGTTGAAAATACTTATTTTCCGGATGTTGAAAATATGTATTTCCCGGATGTTGAAATAATATGGCTCATCTTTGACCGGACCAAAAACCATTGTCCGAGGATGTGGAACTCAGGCCGGTCCGAACTGCACCAAAAATAGACGTCCAAAAGGCGTCGGCCTCCCGAGTGGCGCAGTGGTCTAAGGCACCGCATCGCGATGTGACAAGACTGTAACTACCAATTGGGGACAAAATTTAAAAACAAAATAACAAAAAGGCGTCGGCCCGTGCTTACTGAGGTGTAGCCTACAGTGTTACCTGAAATAGAATTTTATGAATGCCCATCTATGTGGTAAGCGTACTGTTGGTAAAACACCAAAAAAAAGTCAAAAAGACATCGGCTCGTGCTTACTGGGGTGTAGCCTACCATGTCGGCCATGATGGAATTTTATGACTGCCCATCCATGTGGTAGGCCCACCATTTTGTTAATCAGGCCGTCGCATTGGCTTCATTAATCCTGATTCCTGTGACTAATCAATTTGGCTATTTAAGCTATGAATATCAGCTACCCAACTTTATCTGGAGTTATCGTGAGCCTATTTGCAATGTGTTTACACAGTATTTTCTTTTTCGCTATGATCAGCTTGTCAAAAATGTACGGATACAAACTTGAAACCACTGATCATGACAATGGGGTGTAACTCCTGGACAACAGTTGTGATTGTCCATTCCATATTGCCCATTTTTTTTAATGATATGTTGTTTGTTAACATGACAGCACATTTTTTATTTGATTGGGCACCATTTAGGTTAGGCTATTTGATCGGTGAAACTTGCATGATGTAAAAAGTGTCTGTCTCATTACATTGTCATACATTTTATCTCCAGCCTGTAGGCTACAGAAAAGGCCACATACTATTTCTACCGTATACTATGTCTGCTACATGATAAATGTTAGGCAATTTTTTTGACGGAACGTTGGTGGAGCGCCGCAGCGATGCATCTCTCCAACAGCAACCTGGAGAGGCGCGCTGGGAGTGGACAAGCAAAATATTTTGCGCCCCTGCCACTGACAAAGTGGATACTGCTTATCACAGGGCGGCATCAACGCTCACCTAAAAAGCCCTTATGCCACTGGTCAATCTGCCACCATAAGCGGAGGCCTAACCCTGCCTAATGAGCGGGCCGGCCCTGGCTGAGATGGAATTTAAGAAAATTACTTGAGAAAAGCAGAAGCCTTTGAAATGAAGAAGTGGTGTTGAAATGTTCACAGAGCTGTATGATTAAAACAACGTTTCAGGGAGGAGAGGAGGATGTGGTGATGAGGGGGGTGAGGCTTAGCAGAAGGACATCTTATCTGTAAATGTAAATTTTAGAGAGAGAGACAAAGAGAGAGCAAGTCTGTGCAGACCTTTTGGGGGGGCATGTGCTCAAACTAAAAAAAGAAACATTACGGCAACCATGGTAACAGACTCATTTAGCAATTATTAGAAGAAGAGGGGAAAGCAGCACCATCTGAGGAGTAAAGCATTTTGCAAAACTATTTTGAACTGGAGTAAATGCTGCACTTATTAACAATGACCAATACAATTAGTCAAAATAGAAAATTAAGTAATACCGTAGCCTACCATTACTATATCCAACCCTACTCTATTTGTTGCCATTATCATGTATCCCAGTGGTTGGCTAACTTTTTTGACCCGCAACCCCAAAAAAGGAGTGGTACAAAACTTGTGAGTCACTAGGCACCCAAACTAGGCTTATCTGAAATATGAAAATGATCAATCAAATCGCCAGGTAGCCTATTGTTCCATAGTAGATTGCCTGCTTGCAAAACTGGAGGAAATTAAAGAAGTTATTTACAGTTACTGATCTGGATATGGGCACTCACCTTTGCGCGCCAATACTGATGACTAGTCAATGGTCAACAATCAAGACGTGAAACTTTTTGGTTCTGAAGCATTCAGTGCAGTCGGAAAGTATTCAGACCCCTTGACGTTTTCCACATTTTGTTACGTTACAGCCTTATTCTAAAATTGATTCACTTTTTTTTCCCCCTCATCAATCTACACACAATACCCCATAATGACAAAGCAAAAACTGGTTTTTAGAAATGTTTGCAAATGCATTCAAAATAAAAAACTGAAAATATGACATTTACATAAGTATTCAGACCCTTCACTCAGTACTTTGTTGAAGCACCTTTGACAGCAATTACAGCCTCGAGTCTTCTTGGGTATGACACTACAAGCTTGGCACACCTGTATTTGGGGAGTTTCTCCCATTCTTCTCTGCAGATCCTCTCAAGCTCTGTCAGGTTTGATGGGGAGTGTCGCTGCACAGCTATTTTCAGGTCTCTCCGGAGATTGATCGGGTTCAAGTCCGGGTTCTGGCTGGGCCACTCAAGGACATTGAGAAACTTCTCCCGAAGCCACTCCTGCGTTGTCTTGGCAGTGTGCTTAGAGTTGTTGTCCTGTTGGAAGGTGAACCTTCGCCCCAGTCTAAGGTCCCGAGCGCTCTGGAGCAGGTTTTCATCAAGGATACTTTGTACTTTGCTCCATTCATCTTTCCCTCGATCCTGACTAGGGGGGTAGGCCGTCATTATAACTAAGAATTTGTTCTTAACTGACTTGCCTAGTTAAATAAAGGTTAAATACAATTAAAATACCATTTTAATTTTTAAAAGTCTACCAGTCCCTGTCGCTGAAAAACATCCCCACAGCATGATGCTGCCACCACCATGCTTCACCATAGAGATGGTGCCAGGTTTCCTCTAGATGTGACACTTGGCATTCAGGCCAAAGAGTTCAATCTTGGTTTCATCAGACCAGAGAATCTTGTTTCTCATGGTCTGAGTCCTTTAGGTGCAAACTCCAAGTGGGCTGTCATGTGTATTTTACTGAGGAGTGGCTTCCGTCTGGCCACTCTACCATAAAGGCCTGATTGGTGGAGTGCTGTAGGGATGGTTGTCCTTCTGGAAGGTTCTCCCATCTCCACAGAGGAACTCTAGAGCTCTGTCAGAGTGACCATCGGGTTCTTGCTCACCTCCCTGACCAAGGCCCTTCTCCCCCGATTGCTCAGTTTGGCCCGGCGGCCAGCTCTAGGTAGAGTCTTGGTGGTTCCAAACTTCTTGCATTTAAGAATGATGGAGGCCACTGTATTCTTGGGGACCTTCAATGCTGCAGACATTTTTTGGTACCCTTCCCCAGATCTGTCCCTCGACACAATCCTCTCTCAGAGCTCTACGGACAATTCCTTCGACCTCATGGCTTGGTTTTTGCTCTGAAGTGCTGTCAACTGTGGGACCTTATATAGACAGGTGTGTGCCTTTCCAAATCATGTCCATTCAATTGAATTTACCACAGGAGGACTCCAATCAAGTTGTAGAAACATCTCAAGCATGATCAATGGAAACAGGATGCACCTGAGCTAAATTTCGAGTCTCATAGCAAAGGGTCTGAATATTTATTTTGTATAATTTTGCAAACATTTCTAAAAACCTGTATTCGCTTTGTCATTCTGGGGTATTGGGTGTAGATTGATGAGATTTTCTTTTTTTAAATCCGTTTTAGAATAAGGCTGTAATCGCTGCCAAAGGTGCTTCAACAAAGTACTGAGTAAATGGTCTGAATACTTATGTAAATGTGAGTTTTTTTTATTTTTAATACATTTGAAGAAATTTCTAAAAACCTGTTTTTGCGTTGTCATTATGGGGTATTGTGTGTAGATTGATGAGGGGAAAAAAGCAATTTAATAAATGTTAGAATAAGGCTGTAACGTAACGAAATGTATTCACACACAATACCCCAATAATGTGGAATGTGAATGTCTTCAGTCAATAAGTATTCCACCCCTTTGTTATGGCAAGCCTAAATAAGTTCAGGAGTAAATATTTGCTTAATAAGTTGCATGGAATCACTCTGTGCAATAATAGTGTTTAACATAATCATACTCAGTGATGTGTTGTGTTGGATTTGCCACAAACATAATACTTTGTGATCAGGACATAAGGTTAATTTCTTTGTCAAATTTTTGGCAGTTTTACTTTAGTGCCTTTTTGCAAACAGGATGCATGTTTTGGAATATTTGTATTCTGTACAGGCTTCCTTCTTTTCACTCTGTCATTTAGGTTAGTATTGTGGAGTAACTACAATGTTGTTGATCCATCTTCAGATTTCTCCTATCGCATCCATTAAACTCTGTAACTGTTTCAGAGTCACCATTGGTGAAATCCCTGAGCGGTTTCCTTCCTCTCTGGCAACTGAGTTAGGAAGGATGCATGTACAGTATATCTGTAGTGACTGGGTGTATTGATACACCATCCAAAGTGTAATTAATAACTTCACCATGCTCAAAGGGATATTCAATGTCTGCTTTTTAAAAATCCATCTACCAATAGGTGCCCTTCTTTGCGAGCCATTGGAAAACCTCCCTGTTTTTTTGTGGTTGAATCTGTGTTTGAAATTCACTGCTCAACTGAGGGACCTTACAGATAATTGTATGTGTGGGGTACAGAGATGAGGTAGTCATAACAAAATCATGTTAAACGCTATGATTGTAAACATAGTGGGTCCATGCAACTTTTTATGTGACTTATTAAGCACATTTTTACTCCTGAATTTATTTAGGCTTGCCATAACAAAGCGGTTGAATACTTATTGAGTAAAGACATTTTAAACTTTTCATTTGTTATTAATTCCACTTTTACATTATGGGGTATTGTGTGTAGGCCAGGTGACACAAAATCAATTTTAAATTCAGGCTGTAACACAACATAATTTGGAACAAATCAAAGGGTGTGAAAACTTTCTGAAGGCCCTGTTATTAGATGTATATATACAGGGGTGTGAATAATTTCAGAAGAAAGTTTTCACACCCCTTGGACTTTTTCCACATTTTGTTGTGTTTTCACACCTCGCCTCTGCCATTTTACCATTGATGAGAACGAGCCACCATGCAAAGTACATAGCAACCAGGTCTCCATTAAATAAACGAATCAAATATTATTTGTCACATACACGTGTTAGCAGATGTTATTGCGGGTATAGCGAAATGCTTGTGCTTCTAGCTCCGACGGTACAGTAATATCTAACAAGTAATATCTAACAATTTCACAACATATACCCAATACACACAAATCAATTTCACAACATATACCCAATACACACAAATCAATTTCACAACATATACCCAATACACACAAATCAATTTCACAACATATACCCAATACACACAAATCAATTTCACAACATATACCCAATACACACAAATCAATTTCACAACATATACCTAATACACACAAATCAATTTCACAACATATACCCAATACACACAAATCTAAGTAAGGAATGGAATTTAAGAATATATACATATATGGACAAGCAATGACAGAGCGGCATGGACTAAGATACAGTAGAATATTATAGAATACAGAACATACATATGAGATGAGTAGTGCAAGATATGTAAACATTATTAAAGTGACTAGTGTTCCATTTCTTAAACTGGCCATTGATTTCAATAGGCAGCAGCAGCCTCTAATGTGCTAGTGATGGCTATTTAACAGTGATGGCCTTGAGATAGAAGCTGTTTTTCATTCTTTCAACACATAGCTTCCTCTTGATGGTAGATCTGTTCTTACGTTGCACGTCTCAAACGCAACTTCAAACAACCTACACTGGATGTGTGAAGACATTTCACTTCTGCAATCAGACTTTGATAACAGACTCACTGGTGGCAAGGAACCATTGGTTGTCAGTTCACCCACTACCTCAGTTACATACTCACAAACTGAGAGTAACACCTTTCAATACTAAGGAGGTGTAGTAGTGTGAAAAAGTAAAAAAAAGAATCCCCAGCCAGTCACAATAGCAGCATCTACCCAGGTTTTCATTGGGCGTGCGGACCGGTAAAATGTCAGTGCAGGGTGCACACATCTCCCTCCAAAAACACTAAAACACAGAAACCAGGGTTGAGAAAAAACCACTTCCTGAAGTCTAATTATTGTTCAAGCAGCCTCTGTCACATTCTCATTTCTGTTGTAGGTCTCTGTTAAAATGGAAGGGAAACACAATGTAATAGCAGTTTATTTTGGGTTGAATACTTCTACAGCTCGAAGTGCTTTCGAAATGCTTTCTTTCTCTGTAATTTTGTATGAGGCCTATGTAGGAAAATACTTGCAGGTCAAGTCAAACCAAAGCAAGTGTATAATGAAACATTTTGACAACCTAAATGTGTTGAAATGAGGAAGTAAACATTTTAAGTCACTGCTTTTTTGCGTTTTGTCTTAGAAGCTCAGGGTTTGGGTTACAGGAAATACAGCAAAAGGTTAACAGCTCAAATCATCTCAAAGTAGACTAGACCTTAAAGGTGTAATTGGGTCTGGCACATTCCACACCTGTCTCATGTGACATTAAAAAAATATATAAATATATATTTAAAATGGTCAAGAGCCTTGATGCGTTCACACCTGTGTGCATTATAGTCACATATCGTACTGTTTATCTGCAGTTGTGACAAAACTGAAGCTGAACGATTGCTGTTGTTAGAACAGAAGCCGATTGGGCTCTCATCTCTGGGCTTGATGCGAAGCAGGAAACTGTGGTCGGCAGCTGAAATATAGTGTTTGCTCTGCTCCGAGTTACCATGGCTACCAGGTTATGCCACACTCACACTCACATACAAACCACCACTGCTAACAACGCCCTTTCCTGCCCGGCTAGCTACGAGCAGTAAGGAAGTCAATGTGTACACCACAGGAGGCTGGTGGCACCTTAACTGGGGAGGATGAGTTCATAGTAATGGCTGGAACGGAATTAATGGAATGGTATCGAACTCATCAAACACAGAGCTTCCATGTGTTTGATACCATTCCATTGACTCCGTTCCAGCCATTGTTATGAGCCGTCCTCCCCTCAGCAGCCAACTGTGGTATACAGGGTAAAGACTTGGAGGAAGTTACGTGCTTGATGAATCTGACCAAATACAATGTTGGTCGACGTTTATAGCAGTTCATTTCAGATAAATAATTACTCCGATTGATGTATTGCTAGACAGTAACATTGGCCACAAGTCCTTGATGATGACTTAAATGTGTGAATGTAAAAGTGACAAAACGATAATTCTCTCCTCATTTTTTTTTTTAGGCCGGCAGGATCGAAGTTTGGCAGGTCAGTTGGTCTTAAAGTTATTCTCTAATTAATGTCTTTAACCCCCAGAATCAGTCATTATTTGTCCACATCTGAAGGTGACCATTGCATTATTCCGGGTGTTGTTCACATTAATGCTCAGTGGCAGCAACAAGGTGTCCAGCTCAATAGATATCCTATGGTTCTACATTTAGCTCTAGGGGGTAAACTCCTCATCTCAGCCTCTCACTCTCACTCTCACTCTCTCACTAAAGGCGTCACAGCAACAACAACATCATCATCATCAACAGTAGCCATCACCACCAAACCCCCAAGCACTCTCACCACAATCTTAAACTCTCAGACAGCATCCAACTCAACCCATTCTTCACTGGTAGCTGACCAAGGTAAATACTATACTGGAGTATCCAGGTGTAGGCTACCTCCGTTTATATCAGTGAGATGTTTGATTTCTCTCTCTCACACCGTCTATGTCACGGAGGAAACGTGGTTTGGTAAGTGCAGTATAATAGCAAGTGCATCTTAGTTTTGAGCCTCAATCAGTCAACCAACCAACCAACCAACCAACCAACCAACCAACCAACCAACCAACCATCCACTCACCTCTCTCCTGCCTCCACTCTCCTCAGAAAACACTTCCACAGACAAAAGCAGCTCGCCCTTTTCTACACCCAAACAACCCACCAAGAATGCAAACGACTCCACAGGTAAACCTGCAAAGCATAATCTCGCATAGAGACATGCTGGGTCTATTGAGCACTATCAGGAGCTGATTTCATCATGTGTAAATGTTGTATTTCTTGTCTAACTGAGATTATATGGATACACAGAGAGTGTATCAGGCCCCTTAACTCCAAACACCACCGCCACGACGACCACTACCACCCTCTCACCTCCACTCACTTCGCTTACCCCCACCTCAAACAACCTTACTCAGGCATCAGGCCAAGCAACCCTCTCCAACGGTAACGTATACCTCCTGTATTAACGTCTGTTGGTGCTGTAAAATCTATTGTCTTTGTCTCACATCAAAAAGTGTGTCATTCTCTATTTTATAGCAACTGGCGGCTCGAGCACCTCTGACCCTGCAGGCACCCGCAACCTAACCCAGGCCTTGCCCACAAACTCCACCTCTCAAAACCAGGCCTTGCCCACAAACTCCACCTCTCAAACCCAGGCCTTGCCCACAAACTCCACCTCTCAAAACCAGGCCTTGCCTACAAACACTTCAGCCATCCACAACCAAACCTCACCTGCAAGCACCCCGACTTCCACTACAGTTATCCCCACAGGTTGGCCTCTCCTCCATGGGATGCTGTGTTGTGTCCATTGATAGTAGATCATGTTTCTCCTACTGTTATGATGTTGTAATGGAATCTGTTGTGATGTTGTAATGGAATCTGTTGTGATGTTGTAATGGAATCTGTTGTGATGTTGTAATGGAATCTGTTGTGATGTTGTAATGGAATCTGTTGTGATGTTGTAATGGAATCTGTTATGATGTTGTAATGGAATCTGTTGTGATGTTGTAATGGAATCTGTTGTGATGTTGTAATGGAATCTGTTGTGATGTTGTAATGGAATCTGTTGTGATGTTGTAATGGAATCTGTTGTGATGTTGTAATGGAATCTGTTTTGATGTTGTAATGGAATCTGTTATGATGTTGTAATGGAATCTGTTGTGATGTTGTAATGGAATCTGTTGTGATGTAATGGAATGTTGTTCTCAAGGATTCTCACCTGTCTGTTCCATCTTTCAGTCAGCCAGACTACACCAGCATCAACAAAGTGTGAGTTCCAATTCTTTGGTTTGAGATGAAATCTAAAAGACTATGCATGATTTAAAGGGACAGTTCACCCGAATTGATAAATAAATAAATAATGATCAATATTTTCAATTAATCTTATAGGTTCGTACAAAGTCGAGCCTGTCAAATATGGCTTTCAGATTGTTTTAAGCAACCTGACCCCCGGCACATACAACATATCGTACCAGGATGGATCAGGACAAAACATGACTGTTGGGCATCAACCGGTGAACTCCACTATTGAGGTGAAGCCATTGAAGCCTTGCAGCACCTACACAGTAACGAAGATTCAGCCTGAATGTGAACTCAAAGGAAACAGCACACTGACCACTTGGACATTGGGTATGTAAAACACACTGAGCATTACACTGTTTGAATGATACAGTTGAAGTCGGAAGTTTACATACACTTAGGTTGGAGTCATTAAAACTAGTTTTTCAACCACTCCACAAATTTCTTGTTAACAAACTATAGTTTTGGCAAGTCGGTTAGGACATCTACTTTGTGCATGACACAAGTAATTTTTCCAACAATTGTTTACAGACAGATTATTTCACTTATAATTCACTGTATCACAATTCCAGTGGGTCAGAAGTTTACATACACTAAGTTGACTGTGCCTTTAAACAGCTTAGAAAATTCCAGAAAATGATGTCATGGCTTTAGAAGCTTCTGATAGGCTAATTGACATCATTTGAGTCAATTGGAGGTGTACCTGTGGATGTAATTCAAGGACTACCTTCAAACTCAGTGCTTCTTTGCTTGACATCATGGGAAAATCAAAAGATATCAGCCAAGACCTCAGAAAAAAAATTGTAGACCTCCACAAGTCTGGTTCATTTTCCAAACGCCTGAAGGTACCACGTTAATCTGTACAAACAATAGTACGCAAGTATAAACACCATGGGACCACGCAGCCGTCATACCGCTCAGGAAGGAGACGCGTTCGGTCTCCTAGAGATGAACGTACTTTGGTGCAAAAAGTGCAAATCAATCCCAGAACAACAGCAAAGGACCTTGTGAAGATGCTGGAGCAAACAGGTACAAAAGTATCTATATCCACATTAAAACGAGTCCTATATCCACATAACCTGAAAGGCCGATCAGCAAGGAAGAAGCCACTGCTCCAAAACCGACATAAAAAAAGCCAGACTACGGTTTGCAACTGCACATGGGGACAAAGATCAAACTTTTTGGAGAAATGTCCTCTGGTCTGATGAAACAAAAATATAACTGTTTGGCCATAATGACCATCGTTATGTTTGGAGTAAAAAGGGGATAGCTTGCAAGCTGAAGAACACCATCCCAACCGTGAAGCACAGGGGTGGCAGCATCATGCTGTGGGGGTGCTTTGCTGCAGGAGGAATTGGTGCACTTCACAAAATAGATGGCATCATGATGAAGTACATTTATGTGGATATATTGAAGCAACATCTCAAGACATCAGTCAGGAAATTAAAGCTTGGTCGCAAATGGGTCTTCCAAATGAACAATGACCCCAAGCATACTTCCAAAGTTGTGGCAAAATGACTTAAGGACAACAAAGTCAAGGTATTTGAGTGGCCATCACAAAGCCCTGACCTCAATACTATAGACAATTTGTAGGCAGAACTGAAAAAGTGTGTGCCTACAAACCTGACTCAGTTACACCAGCTCTGTCAGGAGGAATGGGCCAAAATTCACCCAAATTATTATGGGAAGCTTGTGGAAGGCTACCCGAAACGTTTGACCCAAGTGAAACAATTTAAAGGCAATGCTACCAAATGCTAATTGAGTGTATGTAAACTTATAATAATATGCCATTTAGCAGACGCTTTTATCCAAAGCGACTTACAGTCATGCGTGCATAATTCTTTTTGTGTATGGGTGGTCCCGGGGATCGAACCCACTACCTTGGCGTTACAAGCGCCGTGCTCTACCAGCTGAGCTACAGAGGACCACACTGGGAATGTGTGCGGCAGGTAGCTTAGTGGGTAAGAGCGTTGTGCCAGTAACCGAAAGGTCGCTGGTTGTAATCCCAGAGCCGACTAGGTGAAAAATCTGTCGATGTGCCCTTGAGCAAGGCACTTAACCCTAATTGCTCCTGTAAGTCGCTCTGGATAAGAGCGTCTGCTAAATGACAAAAAAAAAAAAAAAAAAAAAATGAAAGAAATAAATAAAAGCTGAAATAAATCATTCTCTCCACTATTATTCTGACATTTCACATTCTTAAAATAATGTGGTGATCCTAACTGACCGAAGACAGGGAATTTTTACTAGGATTAAATGTCAGGAATTGTGAAAAACTGAGTTTAAATGTATTTGGCTAAGGTGTATTTGAACTTCCGACTTCAACTGTACATCAGGAATCACACAATGTCATACGTTAGAGAGTAAATATTTAAAAAAGGGTAAAAAATAAATATAAATAAATGGTGCTCCTTGGATTCAAGACTGTCAATCATGAGAAAGAACCACAATTGAAATTCCAAGGGATTCCTATTAGTTTAGACAACCTCTTTAGAAGGCTTATAACTCAAGATAACTGTTGTCCTATGGTGGATATAGAACGATAACACCTCTACATATAGCTCTGGTGGTTACTCCTTTGCAGAAAGAGACGACGTTGAGGAAGACATTGACTGCATACCGGGGTCTATTTGCTATTTGAGTGACTGGGATGTCAGCAAAGCAATTCAGAAGAAAGTTGACAAATCCCACACATGCAGAAACAAATCCAATGCGCTATGTTTTGAGCTAAGAAAGAACGACTTCTGCTCTGTAGTCAATGCAACCTTTGCTCCAAAGATGTGTGCCAACTCCAACTTTACCAAAACAAAATCCATCCAAGTCGGTAGGTTGATTCTGTTATATTGCATTCAGGCACAATTACAAACTGTGATGCCATGAGGGAAAAGAAAACCCTTACAACAGAAAAATAGAGATTTGTCAAATAATTTTCTATTGTATCAAGTTGATGTACCTCTTTTGAAGTTTTATTTACTTTTTGTGACCGCATAATCATAAAGTTACTATTATTGTTTCCAGATCATTAAGTTTCATTGTTTAATTTCTCTAACAGAAAGTTTCCTACGTGCCAACAAAATTGACCTGGTACCGCCAACAAAGTTTCCTGCAGAAATACAGTGGACAAATAAGCCAGTGAATTGTAATGGGACACTATACATTAATTACACCTGCCAGGGTAAGTAGAGAAATATACTTCAAAATCATGTTTATCAGATTGATCTATCTTTGTATTTTATTTTTATTTAACCTTTATTTAACCAGGGTAACCCATTTCCGCTTCGTGCCCTGAGAACAACAATTCAAGAATCATAATTTCAATACAATTCTACAAAATTAAAATTACAACATTACAAATCAGTTACATTCCATTCAAAATGGAGCAATAGACACAAGCTATACATCAGTCAAAACAGATGCATTTAACACGTTCCTCATCAGAGTCCTAAACTGACCTTTTGAGACCAGAGAATCAAGTTTTAAAGTGACCCGTAGGTCATTCCAGGAGCGAGGGGCACTGTAACTAAATGCAGTCTTCCCCAACTCAGAGGAGACTAGTGGAACCTCTAGAACCATCCAGTCTTGAGTCTGATAATTACTGGATTTCCAATTAAGAAGTAAGGTGAGGTAGTATGGGAGTGTCTGGAGAAGTGCTTTATATACAAATAGTAGCCAATGTTAGGCCTTTCTGGTAGTCAGACAATAGAACTGTATAAAATGCAATGATGTGTACAAACATTTTCTCCAGTGATAAAATACAGGGCTGAGTGATAGACTGAATCTAAAGGTTTTAAAACAAAGGCTGCTGCATGTATGTAGATTATATCACCGTAAGTACCAGTAGAAGCGATGCTTGAACAATCTTCCTCCCATTTTCAAAAGTGAGGCAGGATTTTATTTCTATATAGGAAGCCAACCTTCATTCTCCGGGTCTTTGTCAGTTTTTCAATGTGCGTTTTAAAGGACAGCTGTCGTCAATCCAAATACCTAAATAATTATAGTGGGGGACTTGCTCAATTTGGGCTCATTTTCAAGGTGCAGGTACGCAGGTCTTTACTATACATTTTATGAGACCTAGAGAACAACATAAACTTGGTTTTGTCAACATTTAGCACTAATTTAAGATCAGTAAGGGACTCTTGAATTGAATCAAAACCACGCTGGAGGTTATGGAGGTCATGCTGTGCTGAGGGGGCAAGGGAATAAATAACTGTATCTATCATCCGCATTAATATATGTGATAAGACGCTATTTATTTATTTAATATTTTCTATAGAATAGATTTATAGTATACTGTATAGTAGATAGTTCTACAAAAATGGATGATTAAAATGTATCAATTTCTTATTTCCCTCCATCAGAACTCAACAAGACTTTGAATTTATCTCAGTTGGAACCTTTTACAAATTACACTTGTACCGGACGTATTAACCACGGCAATAGAAGCATTGAAAATACCACTTCATTTTGGATTGTGTGTGGTAAGTTCAACATTGAATTTGGTACCACTTTATTTTACAGTCCGACCACTGCTAGTATGTTTTCGAATGGTATGTTAAAATCTTTTTAAAAATAGCAGCCACGACACAACAATTTGATGCTGTTGAATATCACTACAGTTTGCATATCGGTGTAATTCCTACTGTTGTATCCTACAGATGTGAACATAAACGTAACTAATGATGAACCCACAAATAGCTCCGTCAGCCTGAAATTGAACATGTCCTCCAAGAAGTGCCAATCCTCTCACCTTAAGGACCACCTTACATACAAGTACTGCTGTAAAGATAAGAAACAAAAACATAGTAAGATACAGAATCTAAATTCCTATCTATGAACAAAACAAATATTCGACCATAACATTAAATTGATCATTCTTCATTTATATTTTTCTTAATTTTCCGCTAATTATAAATACATGTATATAAAACATTAGTTGAGATGGTAAATAGTTAATTCTTTATTAATTTCTTCTTCCTTTCCAGAGTGCAGTGAAACTAAAGAACATAAATGTGTCATCGGTGGCCTGGATGCATTCACAGACTATGACTGCAGTGTACAGCAAGTGAAGTACAAGAATAAAACCATCACCTTATCTCAAAACAAAACAGCAACAATCAAAACTGCTCCTGGAAGTAGGTGCATCATACTGTATTCCTTATCAATCATAGACATTAAGAACTAAACTACACTTCAAAGACACTGCATTAAATGTGATTATGCAGTTATCGAAGAAGTCGCTGCGTTAAATGGCAGCTATGTTTCTAAACATGTTGCGGTGATCTCTGAGAAAGTAATAGAGTATGATATGTACATGAGATAGCTACATGCAGTCTGCTGGTGTCTGTGGACAGGATGACCATAATGTAATCTGTTGGTGTCTGTGGACAGGATGACCATAATGTAATCTGTTGGTGTCTGTGGACAGGATGACCATAATGTAATCTGCTGGTGTCTGTGGACAGGATGACCATAATGTAATCTGTTGGTGTCTGTGGACAGGATGACCATAATGTAATCTGTTGGTGTCTGTGGACAGGATGACCATAATGTAATCTGCTGGTGTCTGTGGACAGGATGACCATAATGTAATCTGCTGGTGTCTGTGGACAGGATGACCATAATGTAATCTGTTGGTGTCTGTGGACAGGATGACCATAATGTAATCTGTTGGTGTCTGTGGACAGGATGACCATAATGTAATCTGTTGGTGTCTGTGGACAGGATGACCATAATGTAATCTGTTGGTGTCTGTGGACAGGATGACCATAATGTAATCTGTTGGTGTCTGTGGACAGGATGACCATAATGTAATCTGTTGGTGTCTGTAGACAGGATGACCATAATGTAATCTGTTGGTGTCTGTGGACAGGATGACCATAATGTAATCTGCTGGTGTCTGTGGACAGGATGACCATAATGTAATCTGTTGGTGTCTGTGGACAGGATGACCATAATGTAATCTGTTGGTGTCTGTGGACAGGATGACCATAATGTAATCTGTTGGTGTCTGTGGACAGGATGACCATAATGTAATCTGTTGGTGTCTGTGGACAGGATGACCATAATGTAATCTGTTGGTGTCTGTGGACAGGATGACCATAATGTAATTTGTTGCCTATGTTTGTGTTTGACAGTACCTGAGGGGGTGAACAAAGACCTGACTGTGACTTGGACTCAGAATAATGCTTTTACCATTAAATGTCATCCATTATCCCCAAATCCGTGGAAGGGAAATCAAGGGACATACAATGCAACTATCACTGGCGGTGTTCATGAAGAAAAATACTCAAAACATTGCTTTTTTACATTTGAGGACCTCAGTTATTTAACCGAATTCAAAGTTAAGGTAAGTTTTTTGAATTTCAAGAATTTGAAACTCACTTTTTTCAAAACCCATACAGCTATATACAGCTAAACCTAATGTATTGACTATGCTTTAATATATTGTAGAGTTAGATACTGCTGAATTAAACGGTCTACACTACCGGTCAAAAGTTTTAGAACACCTACTCATTCAAGGGTTTTTCTTTTTTTTTTTTACTATTTTCTACATTGTAGAATAATAGTGAAGACATCAAAACTATGAAATAACACATATGGAATCATGTAGTAACCAAAAAAGTGTTAAACAAATCTTTTATATTTGAGATTCTTCAAATAGCCACCCTTTGCCTTGATGACAACTTTGCACACTCTTGGCATTCTCTCAACCAGCTTCACCTGGAATGCTTTTCCAACAGTCTTGAAGGAGTTCCCACATATGCTGAACACTTGTTGGCTGCTTTTCCTTCACTCTGCCGTCCGACTCATCCCAAACCATCTCAATTGGGTTGAGGTCGGGGGATTGTGGAGGCCAGGTCATCTGATGCAGCACTCCATCACTCTCCTTCTTGTTAAAATAGCACTTACACAGCCTGGAGGTGTAAAATCGAGCTCTTTGGCATCAACTCAACTCGCCGTGTTTGGAGGAGGAGGAATGCTGCCTATGACCCCAAGAACACCATCCCCACCGTCAAACATGGTGGTGGAAACATTATGCTTTGGGGATGTTTTTCTGCTAAGTGGACAGGACAACTTCACCGCATCAAAGGGACGATGGACGGGGCCATGTACTGTAAAATCTTGGGTGAGAACCTCCTTCCCTCAGCCAGGGCATTGAAAATGGGTCGTGGATTGGTATTCCAGTATGACAATGACCCAAAACACACGGCCAAGGCAACAAAGGAGTGGCTCAAGAAGAAGCACATTAAGGTCCTGGAGTGGCCTAGCAAGTCTCCAGACCTTAATCCCATAGAAAATCTGTGGAGGGAGCTGAAGGTTCGAGTTGCCAAACATCAGGCTCGAAACCTTAATGACTTGGAGAAGATCTGCAAAGAGGAGTGGGACAAAATTCCTCCTGAGATGTGTGCAAACCTGGTGGCCAACTACAAGAAATGTCTGACCTCTGTGATTGCCAACAAGGGTTTTGCCACCAAGTACTAAGTCATGTTTTGCAGAGGGGTCAAATACTTATTTCCCTCATTAAAATGCAAATCAATTTATAACATTTTTTACATGCATCTTTCTGGATTTTTTTAATAGTTATTCTGTCTCTCACTGTTCAAATAAGCCTACCATTAAAATTATAGACTGATCATGTCTTTGTCAGTGGGCAAACGTACAAAATCAGCAGGGGATCAAATACTTTTTTTCCCTCACTGTAGATGAGTTCCTGATGACCTAGTGGGTTTGTGGGGACCAGGATTGAGGCGCTATATTGTGTTTACACAGTGGGTTTACTATGTAGTAATGTCTTTTTTTCAGATCTTTACAGACAATGGGAAACACCAAAGTAAAGCAATAGAAAAACTAATTAGAACTCGCTGTAAGTATTTTTACATTTCCAGAATCTTATGCAGAAGCCTGCAATAGATACACTCAAGTCAGATTGATTAAACGTATATATACGCTTTGGATGAATATGACCTTTCCCTGATTCCTATTAACAAAATAATTACTTTAATCAAATGTATGACAAAGTAGCTGTTTATCACTCCTCCTCCCTACACTGCATTCAGTGTTGACATTATTGTTGAGTAAATGTCCCTTTACCATGTTGTAATGGGAAACCCTTCTCATCTGTTTTCAGACAATGACAAAGCTCTGATTGGGTTCCTGGTCTTCCTCATCGTCCTGACGTCTCTGGCTCTCCTCTTCGTTCTCTACAAGATCTACGTCCTGCAGCGCAAGAAGTCCAAGTAAGTATTTAGTCAGTCCCTGTCTGGCAGGTCTTCGAATGCCACAGTAGGCTTTAGATTACCTTCAGATTGTATTTGAAGAGATAGCTTTGTAGGTAGTAGCTTAGTTAGATACATTCTAGTTTGGCTATTTAGTGCTGTACATTATACTGTGGAGGATGGTATTCAACAGTGTCTCAACAACAGTACAGTAGATATGCTATCCTCTCCTTTTTGGGAAGAAAGAGAGTCTCTGATATTACTGTTTCTTCCACAGCAACAATGATGAACGGTTTGAGCTGATTCAGCCAAGTAAGTTAATGTTTCTTCCAATTTGATCATATTGAGACACTCTTAAGCAGAGCCATCTACTTTAAGTGCATAGAGACACAAGCTTGCTGAACTCCGTCATTTGAATGAGTAGATGTCCTATGACTGTTGTAAGACTAAAGACTCTTCTACCCATTGAACTCTCTCCATTAAAACCTTTCAAAATATACAATCTCTTCCTTTTCCTGTATGTGGGTGTTGTCACTGATTGGTGTTTCGTAGGTGATGAGGAGAACCTGATGACCGTGGAGCCAATCGGATCTGAGGTGCTTCTGGACGCATACAAGAGGAAAATCGCTGATGAGGGTCGTCTTTTCCTTCAGGAGTTCCAGGTGAATGTTAGAATTCCTCTACCCCTTGCTCAATCAGCAGATTTAGCCACTTAGGAAAAGACACAAACAAAGGAAGGTTAGAAATCAAATGGAAACGTTAAATTACTATTGATTTACTGTTGCCTTTCATGATGTGTTGAGTCTTTTTCTAGGGTAGATACTTACTGTATGTTTCCCAAACGCCTCAGCTCCAGTGATTCCTCCATTCAGCTCACAGATCCCATCTCTCCCTACAGAGCATCCCCAGGATCTTCAGCCGCAACACGGTCAGAGAAGCCAAGAAGTCCTGCAACCAGCCCAAGAACCGCTACGTGGACATCCTCCCGTGTAAGTGGAACCTGATCCTACGTGAACCCTGCTGTCTGAAGGCAGAATACCTGATCCTATATGAACACTACTGTCTGAAGGCAGAACACCTGATCCTATATGAACCCTGCTGTCCCAAGGCAGAACACCTGATCCTATATGAACACTGCTGTCTGAAGGCAGAACACCTGATCCTATATGAACCCTGCTGTCCCAAGGCAGAACACCTGATCCTATATGAACCCTGCTGTCTGATGGCAGAATACCTGATCCTATATGAACACTGCTCCTCTCAGATCAGTGATGTTATTTCCTTATGTCTCGGTCCAATCAGACGACTACAACCGTGTCCAGCTGACCACTGGGAATGGAGAGACTGGCTGTGACTACATCAACGCCAGCTTCATCGATGTAAGGAACACTTGTCATTCTCTTTTTACAGTCCTCAAGTTATCTTATAATTTACCTACATGGTAAAATAGTAATTACATAGTGATTACTGTACATAGTATTTAGTAATGATACCAACTTATTTTGTACCTATTGTGTGCTGTGCCAAATTGTCTTTCATTACAGGGTTTATGTGTCTCATTCATTACAGGGTTTCAAGGAGTCTAAGAAGTACATCGCAGCTCAAGGTGAAGTGCTTTTCCATTTTTTAGTGTTGAGGATGATTCTCTTTACACACTGAATCGTGTAGTGTTGTATTGGCCTTGCATCTTTATTCTGCAACGTGTGTGTATGTCATGTGTGTGTGTGTGTGTGCGTGTGTGCGTGCGCGTGTCCGTGCGTGTGTGTGTGTGTGTGTGCGTGTGCGTGTGCGTGTGCGTGTGCGTGTGCGTGTGCGTGTGCGTGTGCGTGTGTGTGTGCGTGTGTGTGTGTGTGTGTGTGTGTGTGTGTGTGTGTGTGTGTGTGTGTGTGTGTGTGTGCATGTGTGGGCACTTGTGTGTGTGGTAGGTCCCAAGGATGAGACAGTGGGGGATTTCTGGAGGATGGTTTGGGAGCAACAATCCTCTATCATCGTCATGGTAACACGTTGTGAGGAGGGGAACAGGGTAAGCAAATAATAGTACAACTGTCCTGGTTAACAATGAGACTTTCTGCCTCCTTTTCACAAATGATCCAAAAAATAAAATAAATAAAATAAAAGTTGGTTCAACACAGTGGCAGGTCATTTTGACCCGAGGACAACAGGAGGGTTTTAAACGCTTAACACATTTGTGTGCATGTTGCTTGGGTTTGCAAAGCAGAGCTTCCTTCAATTACACCCACAGCTAGCTCAAACCACACAACAGAGGAAAAGACAGCTCGTCCCCTGAAGATATTTTTCTATGATGTTTAACTGGCATTTGACTGTTTCTGTGGCGTATTTCCCCTGTAGAACAAGTGTGCCCAGTACTGGCCGTCCCCTGAAAGAGAGGCAGAGATCTTTGAGGAGTTTGTTGTGAAGCTGAACAGAGAAGATCACTGTCCTGATTACATCATCCGTCAACTCAGCTTGACCAACGTGAGTCACACTTACAGGGTTAAGACAGCGATATCTGTTATTTTCTAAATACACAAACATGGTAGTTACTCTCTTGATAGAGATACTCTGTCACAACTGCCAAAACTGAACTAAAATGATATATCAAACCACTGAATGTCTGATTAGGATAAAGACACAAATTGTATGAAGTTGGCTGATCACCCCATGCACCCCTATACAGCGAGGGAAGACATGATCCACTGACAAAGACATGATCAGTCTATAATTTTAATGGTAGGTTTATTTGAACAGTGAGAGACAGAATAACAACAAAAAATGCAGAGAATCGCATGTCAAAAATGTTATAAATTGATTTTACATTTTAATGAGGGAAATAAGTATTTGACCCCTCTGCAAAACATGACTTAATACTTGGTGGCAAAACCCTTGTTGGCAATCACAGAGGTCAGACGTTTCTTGTAGTTGGCCACCAGGTTTGCACACATCTCAGGAGGGATTTTGTCCCACTCCTCTTTGCAGATCTTCTCCAAGTCATTAAGGTTTCGAGGCTGACGTTTGGCAACTCAAACCTTCAGCTCCCTCCACAGATTTTCTATGGGATTAAGGTCTCCAGGACCTTAATTTGCTTCTTCTTGAGCCACTCCTTTGTTGCCTTGGCCGTGTGTTTTGGGTCATTGTCATGCTGGAATACCCATCCACGACCCATTTCCAATGCCCTGGCTGAGGGAAGGAGGTTCTCACCCAAGATTTGACGGTACATGACCCGTCCATCATCCCTTTGATGCGGTGAAGTTGTCCTGTCCCCTTAGCAGAAAAACACCCCCAAAGCATAATGTTTCCACCTCCATGTTTGACGGTGGGGATGGGGTTCTTGGGGTCATAGGCAGCATTCCTCCTCCTCCAAACACGGCGAGTTGAGTTGATGCCAAAGAGCTCGATTTTGGTCTCATCTGACCACAACACTTTCACCCAGTTCTCCTCTGAATCATTCAGATGTTCATTGGCAAACTTCAGACGGGCCTGTATATGTGCTTTCTTGAGCAGGGGGACCTTGCGGGCGCTGCAGGATTTCAGTCCTTCACGACGTAGTGTGTTACCAATAGTTTTCTTGGTGACTATGGTCCCAGCTGCCTTGAGATCATTGACAAGATCCTCCCGTGTAGTTCTGGGCTGATTCCTCACCGTTCTCATGATCATTGCAACTCCACGAGGTGAGATCTTGCATGGAGCCCCAGGCCGAGGGAGATTGACAGTTCTTTTGTGTTTCTTCCATTTGCGAATAATCGCACCAACTGTTGTCACCTTCTCACCAAGCTGCTTGGCGATGGTCTTGTAGCCCATTCCAGCCTTGTGTAGGTCTACAATCTTGTCCCTGACATCCTTGGAGAGCTCTTTGGTATTGGCCATGGTGGAGAGTTTGGAATCTGATTGATTGATTGCTTCTGTGGACAGGTGTCTTTTATACAGGTAACAAACTGAGATTAGGAGCACTCCCTTTAAGAGTGTGCTCCTAATCTCAGCTCGTTACCTGTATAAAAGACACCTGGGAGCCAGAAATCTTTCTGATTGAGAGGCGGTCAAATACTTATTTCCCTCATTAAAATGCAAATCAATTTATAACATTTTTGACATGCGTTTTTCTGGATTTTTTTGTTGTTATTCTGTCTCTCACTGTTCAAATGAACCTACCATTAAAATTATAGACTGATCATTTCTTTGTCAGTGGGCAAACGTACAAAATCAGCAGGGGATCAAATACTTTTTTCCCTCACTGTACAGATGAAGGATCTTGATCACCCTGTTGTTGCAGGAAATGTCCTGCACAGCAGGAAATGCAAACTTGTAGTGTATTCAAGTTTTAAAAAGGCTTCCAAAGTTAGTAATTTCCACTTTAAAATGTCAGACTTTATTTGCCATAGCTAAAAATATATCAACTCCTACAAAAATGTCCATTAATTATAATCCATCCACCCAATAATTCACATTTCCTGTTGCTGCAGGATAATTTTCCTGCTGTGATACTGGTCAAATTAAGATCCTACACTTGTATGTGTGTGTGTGTGTGTGTGTGTGTGTGTGTGTGTGTGTGTGTAGAAGAGGGAGAAGAGTGCAGAGAGAGAGGTGACCCATATCCAGTTCACCAGCTGGCCAGACCACGGCGTGCCCGGAGAGCCACACCTCCTCCTGAAGCTGCGGCGACGCGTCAACGCCTTCAAGAACCTCTTCAGTGGACCCATAGTCATACACTGCAGGTAGGAAACCACACAAACACACACACAGGATTGCACTTGTAATTTGTTGTACTCTCTTTATACAAAATGTGTTTTTTTTTGTTGCCATTTTTCTATACTGTTTGGGAGTTTTGTGTCCAGAATGAGATATTTGTGTTAAAGTGATTGTTATTAATGTGACTTGGTGCAGTGCTGGAGTGGGAAGAACAGGCACCTACATGGGCATCGATGCCATGATGGAGGGGCTGGAGGCCGAGGGCAGAGTGGACATCTACGGATACGTGGTCAAGCTCCGGCGCCAGAGATGCCTCATGGTTCAAGTGGAGGTAAGTTGTCATCACATTAGACTATGAGATTCTATCCATTAGACTATGAGATAGATGTGTGTGTGTGTATTAAAACCTGTGTGTATTATTAAGTATTAATGTGTGTATTAACCTGTGTGTATTATTAAGTATTAATGTGTATATTAACCTGTGTGTATTATTAAGTATTAATGTGTGTAGTAACCTGTGTGTATTATTAAGTATTAATGTGTGTATTAAACTGTGTGTATTATTAAGTATTAAAGTGCATATTAACCTGTGTGTATTATTAAGTATTAATGTGTGTATTAACCTGTGTGTATTATTAAGTATTAAACTGTGTATTAACATGTGTGTATTATTAAGTATTAATGTGTGTATTAACCTGTGTGTATTATTAAGTATTCATGTGTGTATTAACCTGTGTGTATTATTAAGTATGAATGTGTGTATTAACCTGTGTGTATTATTAAGTATGAATGTGTGTATTAACATGTGTGTATTATTAAGTATGAATGTGTGTATTAACCTGTGTGTATTATTAAGTATTCATGTGTGTATTAACCTGTGTGTATTATTAAGTATTCATGTGTGTATTAACCTGTGTGTATTATTAAGTATTAATGTGTGTATTAACCTGTGTGTATTATTAAGTATTAATGTGTGTATTAACCTGTGTGTATTATTAAGTATTAATGTGTGTATTAACCTGTGTGTATTATTAAGTATTAATGTGTGTATTAACCTGTGTGTATTATTAAGTATTAATGTGTGTATTAACCTGTGGGTATTATTAAATATTAATGTGTGTATTAACCTGTGTGTATTATTAAGTATTAATGTGTGTATTAACCTGTGTGTATTATTAAGTATTAATGTGTGTATTAACCTGTGTGTATTATTAAGTATTCATGTGTGTATTAACCTGTGTGTATTATTAAGTATTAATGTGTGTATTAACCTGTGTGTATTATTAAGTATTAATGTGTGTATTAACCTGTATATTATTAAGTATTAATGTGTGTATTAACCTGTGTATTATTAAGTATTAATGTGTGTATTAATCTGTGTATTATTAAGTATTAATGTGTGTATTAACCTGTGTGTCCGGTCAGGCTCAGTACATCCTGATCCACCAGGCCCTGATAGAACATAACCAGTTTGGAGAGACAGAGATCTCCCTGGCAGAGCTGCACCCCACACTGGGCACGCTCAAACAGAGAGACCCCGGTAACGAGCCCTCTCTGCTTGAGGCAGAGTTCCAGGTCAGTCTACCTTATTGACTTATTCATTCTGTTATTACTTCCTGTCCATTCATCCATTCTTCCTTCCCTCTCTCATTTATTTCCTCTGTCATTGACTTTCCTTCTTCCCATCTACTGTTCCATTCCCGTCTTTCCTATGGAATACATGTGCTATCAGAGTACTTCTTACTCAAATAGTTTTCTCTGACCGTTCTGTGATGTAGAGACTTCCACGGTACAAGAATTGGCGGACATTCAACACGGGGATCAACGAGGAGAACAAGAAGAAGAATCGCTACTCTTCTGTTATTCCATGTGAGTACAGTATTCAGCCAGACCCAGCACAGTATAGTTAGTTGTCAATAGGGAACCTCTTAATAATAATTCATTTCAGTTTAGTTATATGAATTGTCCAAAAGCATGGCCGCTTTCCCACACTATATTACTATAGAATTTTCACAAATGTCTTACTATACGTCATTCCCAAACATTCTATGAATTTATGAAAACATGAAAATGACTATATCTAAGTGCTAGCTTAGCTTTTTTAAAAGGTGTCATATTCTTCCTTTGGGTGTATATGAACAGAATGTAATAAGATGTCATGTTGCTAAAACGCTTTCAGTTCCACTTTAAGAATTCTTACTTGAAGAGTTCCTCCGGTAAATTTCACTTCCTAAACTGACTAGTATTTGAATCAATTCCAATCAGACGACTACAACAGGGTTCTGGTGAAGCTGGAGGATGACGGCAGCCATGACCAGGACGATGATGATGATGATGATGACTCTTCAGACGAAGAGGACGAGGAGTCCACCAAATACATCAACGCCACACACATAGATGTACATACAACATTTTACATTTTATAAATGTTAAGTAATTTAACGAACACAATATTATAGATGTGACAAAGGGATTTCACTCAAAAGGATTTTCACTCGTCAGCATTATGAGTTTTATTACAATAAATGTGTGTTAAATCTAACTGAAACTAGGGGCAGGATTCATTCAGATCATGCTTTGTCAGACTGCATTCACGGTAAACGCTGCATATGACGGTTCAATAGGGAATTACCTTCAAATGGCGCATAGCCGACAAAAAGCGAAATGGGATTGAATCCTGGCCAATGAACCATTAAAGTGTGTTCATCTCGCTCAGGGTTACTGGTGTCAGAAGAGTCTGATTGCAGCCCAGGGCCCTCTAGCCGACACCACAGCAGACTTCTGGCAGATGGTCTTCCAGAAGAGGGTCAAAACCATCGTCATGCTGTCAGACCTCACAGAGGGAGACCAGGTGGGTCCCACAACAAAGGGGGTTTCTAAGAACCTCTGTTATACACAACAAGGGGGGTTTCTAAGAACCTCTGTTATACAGTAGTGCTATTCTAATGCATTGTGTGGATGTGTTGTTTGAGTGAGTCTGTCTTTCTCTCTGCATGCGTAGGAGTTCTGTTCAGCGTACTGGGGAGATGAGAAGAAAACCTTCAGGGACATCGAGGTGGAGTTGACAGCCACAGAAACCCTCCCTGCTTACACCACTCGCAGTATCCAACTCCGTCACCCTAAGGTAACCGGTAACTAACCATAGGGAATGTCTAGGGCTGTTTACACTTATGGACGTCAGACAGTCAGACAATGTGATTACTCTCGTCCAACTTTAAAAAAAAGTCTCTTCATTAAGAACTTAAAGGAAATTAAATGTGTTTATGTGTGTACTTTGTCACTGTTTTAATATTGGTCATTGAATCCAAGAAAGACCATGGTCCATATTATGAAAGGTAAATAAAGTGAAGCTGAACTCGACTTGGTGTTACCCATGTACTGTATTACCTCAATTACCTCATCTACCTCATACCTCTGCACATTGACTCAGTACTGGTACTCCTGCACATTGACTCAGTAATGGTACAGTGGGTAAAAATGCAAATCAATTTACAGTGGGGAAAAAAAGTATTTAGTCAGCCACCAATTGTGCAAGTTCTCCCACTTAAAAAGATGAGAGAGGCCTGTAATTTTCATCATAGGTACACGTCAACTATGACAGACAATTTGAGATTTTTTTTCTCCAGAAAATCACATTGTAGGATTTTTAATGAATTTATTTGCAAATTATGGTGGAAAATAAGTATTTGGTCACCTACAAACAAGCAAGATTTCTGGCTCTCACAGACCTGTAACTTCTTCTTTAAGAGGCTCCTCTGTCCTCCACTTGTTACCTGTATTAATGGCACCTGTTTGAACTTGTTATCAGTATAAAAGACACCTGTCCACAACCTCAAACAGTCACACTCCAAACTCCACTATGGCCAAGACCAAAGAGCTGTCAAAGGACACCAGAAACAAAATTGTAGACCTGCACCAGGCTGGGAAGACTGAATCTGCAATAGGTAAGCAGCTTGGTTTGAAGAAATCAACTGTGGGAGCAATTATTAGGAAATGGAAGACATACAAGACCACTGATAATCTCCCTCGATCTGGGGCTCCACGCAAGATCTCACCCCGTGGGGTCAAAATGATCACAAGAACGGTGAGCAAAAATCCCAGAACCACACGGGGGCACCTAGTGAATGACCTGCAGAGAGCTGGGACCAAAGTAACAAAGCCTACCATCAGTAACACACTACGCCGCCAGGGACTCAAATCCTGCAGTACCAGATGTGTCCCCCTGCTTAAGCCAGTACATGTCCAGGCCCGTCTGAAGTTTGCTAGAGTGCATTTGGATGATCCAGAAGAGGATTGGGAGAATGTCATATGGTCAGATGAAACCAAAATATAACTTTTTGGTAAAAACTCGTCGTGTTTGGAGGACAAAGAATGCTGAGTTGCATCCAAAGAACACCATAGCTACTGTGAAGCATGGGGGTGGAAACATCATGCTTTGGGGCTGTTTTTCTGCAAAGGGACCAGGACGACTGATCTGTGTAAAGGAAAGAATGAATGGGGCCATGTATCGTGAGATTTTGAGTGAAAACCTCCTTCCATCAGCAAGGGCATTGAAGATGAAACGTGGCTGGGTCTTTCAGCATGACAATGATCCCAAACACACTGCCCGGGCAATGAAGGAGTGGCTTCGTAAGAAGCATTTCAAGGTCCTGGAGTGGCCTAGCCAGTCTCCAGATCTCAACCCCATAGAACATCTTTGGATGGAGTTGAAAGTCCGTGTTGCCCAGCGACAGCACCAAAACATCACTGCTATAGAGGAGATCTGCATGGAGGAATGGGCCAAAATACCAGCAACAGTGTGTGAAGACTTACAGAAAACATTTGACCTGTGTCACTACCAACAAAGGGTATATAACAAAGTATTGAGAAACTTTTGTTATTGACCAAATACTTATTTTCCACCATAATTTGCAAATAAATTCATTAAAAATCCTACAATGTGATTTTCTGGATTTCTTTTTCTCGTTTTGTCTGTCATAGTTGACGTGTACCTATGATGAAAATTACAGGCCTCTCTCATCTTTTTAAGTGGGAGAACTTGCACAATTGGTGGCTGACTAAATACTTTTTTCCCCCACTGTACTCCTGCACATTGATCAGTACTGGTACTTCCTGTATTTAGCCTCGTCATTACCTCATACCTCTGCACATTGACTCAGTACTGGTACTTCCTGTATTTAGCCTCTTTATTGTTTGTGTTGTGTTACTATTTCCTTTTTGATTTAGCAAATATTTTTCTTATTTTTTAATTCTGCACTGTTGGGAATGGGCTCTTAAGTAAGCATTTCACTGTAAAGTCTACACCTGTTGTATTTGGCACATGTGACCAATAAAATTTGATTTAAAAAATAAATAAATTATCCTGTCCCTACAGAGGAAAGAGAGTCAGCAGGTGAAACAGTACCAGTTCCTGAAGTGGGCGGGTCGAGAACTCCCAGAGAAGCCTCAGGATTTTACGGACATGATCAAGAACATCAAGCAGACCTGTGGCTATGGCAACAGCAAGCCAGAGAGGATCCTGCCTGTTGTGGTCCACTGCAAGTGAGTCACCGTCTCAGAGCCATTCTAACATCAAGGGAAAGTACATAACCTTGAATAGTATTGTTTACATGTCTGCCTACACTTGGAGGCATCTGGATTTGTAAAATGAGTCAATGCCCTATTCTTTACTGAGTCAATCCCTCCATCCCTCTTTCCTCTCTCGCAGTGATGGCTCGTCTCGCTCCGGGATCTTCTGTGCGTTGTGGAACATCATGGACAGTGCTGAGACAGAGAAACTGGTGGACGTGTTCCAGGTGGCCAAGGCTCTGCGCAAGGAGAGGCAGGGCATGATCCACAGCCTGGTAAGTAGGACAAACATAGGCCTACTCTACCCTGGTCTGAACAAACACTGTAGCAGGTTTCCACATTGTATTGTGTGTATGATGTAAATGGTCGTAAATGGGTCAGATGCAACATGCAGTAGGACTATGTATTGGTTTCTGTTCAAGGCAGTTTATCATCTAATTCAGCCAATGTCTAATGCGGATTGTCCTTAGAAGGGTGACTGTTTGTATGGTTCTCTCTCTCACCGCTGTCTGTCTGTCTCTGCGTGTCACCCCGTCAGGAGCAGTACCAGTTTCTTTATGACGCCGTGGAGGGGTCGTTTCCTGTTCAGAATGGGGAAGTGAAGCAGCCAGCCACCGCCCCAGCTGAAGAAGCTGACTACGTCCAGGTCATCAACGAGACCGAGGCAGAGCAGCCTGCCAGCGCTGCCACAGCCACCCAGCAGGGGGAAGCGGTGGTGAAGGAGGCAGTAGAGAGCACTCCCCTAGTGGCAGGGAAAGAAGCAGGTGCCGCAGCAGAGGGCAAGGAGGATGAGGCTAATGAGCCAGGTAGCCCTACAGAGAAAACCCCTCTGGACGGGGCTAGTAACGGCCCTGCTGTTACCCTGGAGGTGTGACAGAACCTATATAAAGACACTTGAATGGGATATTAGTACTTCAGTGCCTTTTACAGTGTTAGTGGTCAGTGGTCAATAGACCATCGGTAGTATACCCACAAAAATAGAGAGATAATATTGGTATACTTGGTTTAATTACTTCTTGAATGTATTATACATGTAAAGCTTTCATTTGAAGTTGACATGTGTTTTGAATAGATTTTTATGCCATTTTTAAAAATGTTTCATATTAAGATTTTTATAGCTTTATTTCTGTAAAATTATGACCTGGCATGTTTTCAGATTCAAACTAAGGGCTTTTTTTTCAATCCGTATCACGGAAATTCAGCACAAAAGCCCAATTGAATTTTTTAAGGCAATATTCCTGCTTTGGCGGAGACGGCATTCACGGTCAACACTGCAAGTGTTGGCTCAATTGGAAATGACCTTTACATTTCGATCACGAAATCTGTAACGCTTCAGCAATACGGATTGAATAGAGCCCTAAATTATGTATTGTGGCCATGGTAAGGTAAGCTGTGTTGGAAATTGCAAAAAAATGTGTATTATTTTGACAAGCAAAGTAAATGGCAAACTTTGCACTACATTGCTGTTTTCAAACTAGAGGTTTCTTTTTTTTTTTTGCATATTAGTATATATTGATAATGGTTAAGTGGATGCTGTCATTTTAATATTAGGTTAGCTATTTTCTGTACTATCATAAGCATACATCAAACCTGTATATTAATTTAGATTAAGCAGTACTTTTGTTCTGAAATAAAGCAGTGTCAAAACGTTTCACAGTGAATTCAAAATCTTCTGAAGATATTTAGGCTGCTGCGCCTCGGCTGTTTGGACACAATGTCCACCTCCTTCCAGTTGGTCTAATGCTTTGATCAGAAGAAAATATTTACTGCGGAGTGCTGAACGCTGACTGTAAGTCACACTGGACAACAGTATCTGCTAAATGACAGAGCAAGTATGTAAACTGGCTCAAACCAAGTAGCCTTAGCCATTTAAACCACTCCGTTCTATAGATTTGCTAGTGAATTTAATGGTATAAGCTTTGAATCCTAACCTGGACATCTATGTGATGTAACTGCATTAGGGTGGATAACCACCAGTTTCTTCAAACTGCAATACTCCCGCCAGACACAAGGTGTCGCCCAAGTACAGGACACTTCTATTGGATGAGTAGACTGCGTCCACTTGTCACCACCTAAATGGTTTCCACTGTAGCAAAGGCATATCTCTCGTTCATTCTAGTGTTAAGCACAGTACATAGTGCAAATACTCACTACTTGTAGCTTGACAAATACTCACTACTTGTAGCTTGACAAATACTCACTACTTGTAGCTTGACAAATACTCACTACTTGTAGCTTGACAAATACTCACTTGACAAATACTCACTACTTGTAGCTTTACAAATACTCTACTTGTAGCTTGCCAAATACTCACTACTTGTAGCTTGCCAAATACTTGCTACTTGTAGCTTGACAAATACTTGCTACTTGTAGCTTGGCAAATACTCGCTTGCCAAATACTCACAACTTGTAGCTTGACAAATACTCACTACTTGTAGCTTGCCAAATACTCGCTACTTGTAGTTTGACAAATACTCACTACTTGTAGCTTGAAACTGCATGTGATTCTAACACAGAAAATACATTTGTAACACCTGGCTTTTAAACATTTTAAATGATTACATGGTGTAATATTCCTCTGATTTTATTTTGGTGAACTGAACATTCTTTCAGCACTCCATTTCTGAAATCAATATCAAAAGCGAACACAGTAACACATTTAAAGACGCACATGTGCACAAATGGGATACTGATAGTCTACACAGATTCAGAACCATTCATGATTTCAATTCTGAGTCGAGTTCCAATGAGAACATAACTGAGGATCATAAAAGCTAAACACATTTGACTAGCGAGAACTCAATTCTCAATTTGATTAATTCACTCCTGTTCACTCATTTTCAGCATCAAGACATATATAATCATCATTATTTGCAAGTAAAAGTTGCATATCGTATAAATATTATACTCACGGCCCAGTGAAGCGTTATGTTTTCAAAATGCATATTGCTGTTTTTGGGTGACCTACTGACCACAGGAGGTTGGTGGCACCTTAAATGGGGAGGACGGGTTCGTGGTTTCTATGGTTTCCATGTGTTTGATGCCGTTCCATTCGCTCCGTTCCAGACATTATTATGAGCCGTCCTCCCCTCAGCAGCCTCCACTGCTACTGACTGTTCTATAACCAACAGTAACAGAGGGCTTTACACTACTACATTACAGGGGTCGACAAACGGAAATGGGATAGTGATTGTTTTGAAGCAACTGGACTGTTGCAGTGGTAAGACCAGAGTTAAACCAAATAGTTTCAGTAACAGTCTTATTGGACAGGACAGCATCCTGACACCACCTGTCCTGTGGAATACAGGAGGAGGTCATCATTCAGAGGAGGTTGGTGGCACCTTAATTGGGGAGGACGGGCTCGAGGTAATGGCTGGAGCGGAATTGGTGGAATGGTATCAAATACATCAAACACAGGGTTTCCATGGTTTCCATTTGTTTGATGCCATTCCATTCGCTCCTTTCCAGCCATTCTTATGAGCCGTCCTCCCCTCAGCAGCCTCCACTGGTGCACACCTAGCTAAAGAGTAAGGGGTTGATTCAATCCGTAGCGCTGAAGATCCGCACTGTAGCTCAATTTAAATGTAAAGGTAATTTTCAATTGAGCCGACATATGCAGCGTTTACCATGAATGCAGCCTCCGCGAATGCGGGAACATTGCCTTTAGATTTCTAGAGCGCTGTAGCGCGGATCTTCAGTGCTACGGATTGATTCAAGGCCTAAAGCTATACAGTATTTTATACACTGATGTTATTCAATGCAGTCTTTGTGACACTTATCAGACACAAAACAGCGCTTCTCCTGACATGTTCATCCACCAAGGGATGCTAGTTACACGACAGAGAGAACTTGCTATGTGGCACTGAAGAATTCTCAGATTGTAAGCAATTTTTGGTGTACCATATCATTTTCATAGCTTATATTACTTTTACCTGGAAAACAGGCAAACAATCATCATTGTTTAGCATAGTTTTGGTGAGAAATATAATGCTAGGATTCAGTATAATTCTCCTTCTTAAAGGGCCAAAACACACATCTGCCCCTGTGTGTTTCCCAGGTAACCAGCAGCCAATAAGAAACATATTTGTTTCCCCATAAAATACAGAAGGAGACTTTGTAGGACAGTCAAACATTGGTCTTTCTCCGGTCCCTCAAAGTTGTTACTCTGCATCTTTAGATAAAGCAAAACATAGTTTGCTTGTCCATTGTAATCATTCTGACAGGGAAGTGCTTTTAAAAACTGTATGAATGCTGCATAAATAAAATTGTAGTAGGCTAGTTCTCAAAAAAGCAGCATTGATCGTCATACATAATTTTAAATGGTCTCATTCAACTTCAGTCACAATGTTGTGAAGTCTTAAATATTTAACCCCCCATGTGCAGAAGTACTGTAAGGAAACAGAAGTTGGTTCTGGGGTTTCTGTGTTGCTTGTCACAACCATTGGATCCCCTTTGGCGTGAGTAGTCTAAGGGCTAGATTCAATCAGTTCTGCCTTAACCCGCGATAACCAACAAACTGCATAGCAGTTGCATTGTTTTTAATTTAGGCGATGTCGGAGGTGTAACTGCGTTGGAGCTGTCAAATCAGCAAGCGGCTCCTGGCGTTATATACCCATCGTGGACATCGCCATTGGATGTGCCGAGTAGCATTAGTAATAACCCCATGCAGCCCTGTTACAAGTTGGAACACTGGGATGAGATGTAATCTACACCTCTAAGACTGATAGAAATCCTCATTATTTTTGTTTCATGATTTCCAAATCTGAGTCATTATTTCTGAACATCTAATGTGGGTGGGATTTAAGAATGTGTGTGGTTTTGTGACAATGACGACAAGAGCAGCCGCTCACAGATTTGACAGCTCCAACGCAGCTAACACCTCTGACATCGCCTAAACAAAAAACAATGAAACAGCTACGCAGCAGTTGTCAGTTATCGCGGGTTAGCCCTGGAACTGACTGAATCTGGGCCTAACAAGCAGTCTTCTTGGCTAGTTATTTTCCTGTGTCAGTTGATCCCTTCCAATACATTATTTTTCGCTCTCTGATCCACCCATGTTCTGACATTTCCACTGGTTGGGCAACTGACAAGCCATCGCAGGGGAGTGAGTCTGCACCTGGGTCCTGGTACCACACAGCGGCAACACACAAAACCAATACCATTACCAGAATGACCATGACCATCCTCCCCAACTCAGCACCTCTTCAGAGCTGTCTCCAGCCCCAGTCAGGGACCAGTCACTCAATCAGAACAGGACCAGGAACAATACAATAGACCTCCCCTGTTGTCCTCATTTACGTCCCTCTGTCCATCCATACCTGCCAGCCCTCCTGTCCTTCCTCTCTGTTGTGGCGCAGTGGCTCAGACTTAGACCCAATATGGTCCCGTCTGACCCTGTGTGCTGTGTTCCACCTCCTCAAATCCCACCTCAAACCAACTCAGAACCGGTTCAAACCAGCTCAGAACCAGTTCAAACCAGCTCCCTGCACCTGAGGAGACATGCCTAGCACAACCAGCCATGGTCGACAGTCACACCACTGGCTGTGTCAGCTTTGACTGGAGTCAATAACACACATCCATCCCCCTCTGGGTTACTTGGTCTTGGCTTTGCTTTCTGGTGTTGCTCCCCCGTTGGATGCGGTGGGGATCTTGGCGGTTTCGGGTCTCTTGGCGGCGATTTCGGGGCGGGGTTTGGATTTGGGCGGGGAGTCAGGCTCCCAGAGGAAGAACTCGTGCAGGAGGGTGTTGACGCTCTCGGGACACTCCATCATCACCATGTGACTGCCCTCATTGATTATCTTCAGGAAGGCCAGCAACAGGATCTGAGTGGAGGCAGGGAGGTTAGATTAGGTTCAGGTTTTATGTTTAAACCTAGGCTTAGAGTTAGGTTTAAAGTTAGGGTTAGCGTTAAGGTTTTCCTCTCACCTCTGCCATTCGTTGATCCTCCTCCACGGGCACAAACTTGTCGTACATGCCGTGCACCAGCAGGATGGGCACTGTGATCTCTGCGTGGTACACCTCGTCGCCTTCAGGCCAGTACTGGCCACTCATCATGGCACGCAGCACGAAGGAAGACACGTTGAAAGCATTGTTGTCTTTCAACAGCTGCTTCTCCTTCGCACCCTGACGGGCAAACCCAGCCCTGAGGGAGGCAGAGGAGAGAGAGAGAGTGGAGGAGCGTAAGATATCATACTTGAGGAGTGAGAGAGAGTGGAGGAGCGTAAGATATCATACTTGAGGAGAGAGAGTGGAGGAGCGTAAGATATCATACTTGAGGAGAGAGAGAGAGTGGAGGAGCGTAAGATATCATACTTGAGGAGAGAGAGAGAGTGGAGGAGTGTAATATATCATACTTGAGGACAGAGAGAGTGGAGGAGTGTAAGATATCATACTTGAGGAGAGAGAGTGAGTGGAGGAGCGTAAGATATCATACTTGAGGACAGAGAGAGTGGAGGAGTGTAAGATATCATACTTGAGGAGAGAGAGTGAGTGGAGGAGCGTAAGACATCATACATGAGAGAGAGTGAGTGGAGGAGTATAAGATATCATTCTTGAGGAGAGAGAGTGAGTGGAGGAGCGTAAGATATCATACTTGAGGAGAGAGAGAGAGTGGAGGAGCGTAAGATATCATACTTGAACAACATAGGCTGAAGGCTCTTTATACAGAAGTTTGACTGTATTGAAGTAGGCCTGGGCAGAGGCTCCTCAGAGGAGGAAGGGGAGCACCATCCTACTCAGGACATTTCCTTTTTTGTTTTTGTAATAACATTAACAAAAGTTATCCTTTTTAGATAAAACTATACAAAATATATGTCACCAAATAACTGATTAACACTGTTTTGCAATGGTCTACAGTAGCCTCAACAACACTCTATAGGGTAGCACCATGATGTAGCCGGAACACAGATATTTTCCGTCCTACATTGACTTCAATACAAAACCACGGCTCTCACCCCCTTCCATAGACTTACACAGTAATTATGACAACTTCCGGAGGACATCCTCCAACCTATCAGAGCTCTTGCAGTATGAACTGACATGTTGTCCACCCAATCAAAGGATCAGAGAATGAATCTGGTACTGAAAGCATAAGCTACAGCTAGCTAGCGCTGCGAAAGACAATAGTTGAACAGTTTTGAACAAATTAAGTTTGAGAGAGAGAGAGAGAGTTTTTGTATTTTTTCTTCTTCAGAGTTTACCTTTCACTTACTTAGCTAATGCAGCTAATTTAGCCTACTCAACAACCTGACTCAAACAGAGAGGAATGCTATTTATGTTAGCTAGCTGGCTAAGGCTATCCAACACTGCAACTCTTCCAAGTCAAGGTAAGCTTTCGGTTTTATAAAAGTATTGCCACCAGGGGCCCGCCGGGGTAACTGCTTGCTGTACACTGTACTGCGTGACTGTACACATGGATTAGATTGTGGGTTTACTAACGCGTTAGTTCTAGTTTGTTAACTATAACGTTAACATTGTGACAACGATGTAGGCTGTGTGTAGCCAACTCTCACGCATTGGCCATAAGACACACGCATTTGACCCTCTTCACATGCCACACCTCTTATATACTACATGACCAGAAGTATATGGACATCTCATTACAAAATCATGGGCATTAATATAGAGTTGGTCCCCCCCTTTGCTGCTACAACAGCCTCCACTCTTCTGGGAAGGCTTTCCACTAGCTAACATGCTTCAATTCAGCCACAAGAGCATTAGTGAGGTCGGGCACTGATGTTGGGCGATTAGGCCTGGCTCGAAGTCGGCGTTCCAATTCATCCCAAAGGTGTTCGATGGGGTTGAGGTCAGGGCTCTGTGCAGGCCAGCCAAGTTCTTCCACGCCGATCTCAACAAACCATTTCTGTATGGACCTCGCTTTGTGCACGGGGGCATTGTCATGCTGAAACAGGAAAGGGCCTTCCCCAAACTGTTGCCGCAAAGTTGGAAGCACAGAATTGTCTATAATGTAATTGTATGCTGTAGCGTTAAGATTTCCCTTCAACTAAGGGGCCTAGCCCGAACCATGAAAACCAGCCCCAAACCATTATTCCTCCTCCACCAAACTTTACAGTTGCCACTATGCATTCGGGCAGGTAACGTTCTCCTGGCATCCGCCAAACCCAGAGTCGTCCGTCGGACTACCAGATGGTGAAGCGTGATTTATCACTCCAGAGAACGCGTTTCCACTGTTTCAGAGTCCAATGGGGGCGAGCTTTACACAACTCCAGCCGACGCTTTGCATTGCACATAGTGATCTTAGGCTTGTGTGCAGCTGCTCGGCCATTGAAACAGTTCTTGTGCCGACGTTGCTTCCAGAGGCAGTTTGGAACTCGGTAGTGAGTGTTGCAACCGAGGACAGATGATTTTTACGCGGTCCCGTTCTGTGTGCTTGTGTGGCCTACCACTTCGCAGCGGAGCCGTTGTTGCTCCTAGACGTTTCCACTTCACAATAACAGCACTTACAGTAGACCGGGGCAGCTCTGGCAGGGCAGAAATGTGATGAACTGACTTGTTGGTGACGGTGCCACGTTGAAAGTCACTGAGCTCTTCAGTAAGGCCATTCTACAGCCAATGTTTGTCTATGGAGATTGCATGGCTGTGTGCTCGATTTTATACACCTGTCAGCAACAGGTGTGGCTGAAATAGCTGAAACCACAAATTTGAAGGGGTGTCGACATACTTTTGTATATAGAGTGTATCTCCCTCATTGAAAAGTACTGCTTTTATTGTCAGTGCGTTAACTTTTCAACTGTGCTGCCTCCAAGTCATTTTGAAATCGGAGCGTCTGAGCCTGCAATGTAACATCATGAGCGGAACCTGCTTCATTGTCCTGTCTTGTCACAGCACTGTGAACCGCGGCACATATGATTGGTCTAGTTATGTAAGGAATCAAGTGGATTGGATGCGCATTTGAAAGAAACACCCCTCGAGAGTAAAGTGGAGCTGAATGGAGAGAGAACGTTCTCCGCTGAGTTTATAAAACATTAAAAAGAGCAGCACGGGTAGCGCTGTTTTATGTACAATGTTATAAACTAAATTAGGTTGCTGTTACTCCCGTCCCTATTGCAGAATGCAGCCCTTTGATAGCATGTAGTAAGTCGATTTAATATACACTTGCATTAGTCCTCTCGTTTGGTGATTGGCATTAGGCTGTGACAATGAAAAGGCAGCAGACAGACCTACAGGATGTTTTAGCAGGGAAGTGTGGTAGGGTGACCTGACTTGTAACTATGACAATTATTTTGCCAAACAGATTGTGAACCCAAAAGTGTTTGATTCTAGAGGAGGGACAATAAATATATATTTTTAAATGGTTAGGGTGTAGGGGCAGATTTATGTCATCTAGTCTTCAGGAGATTTTAATATCTATTTACTTGATTTAGTCTGATCAGTGGAATTACAATTCTTAACAAGGGCTAAAATATTGGGTAATTAATGTGTGCTTGTCAGCAACAACACTACTGGTATTCACCAGACGTATTGTATTATTCCACTACTTCCCAATGTTGCCAGTGTAATCACATATTTGAAATCTGATATGCCTACTTGTGTCTTTGATAATGAATTATATGAGGCTATATATTTTTACAGCTATTCATGGACAGTTTTGAATAAGTCATACAAATAAGCATTGGATGTTAAATGCTCCCGGCCACAAATTTAATTTTTGACATTTTAGTTTGTGCACATGCTAGGCAGAGATGGTAGGGGGACTCCCAACTCATAAACGCATCACATTTTGATCACAAGATCAGTAGGCATAAACCATCTGCATATTGATCTATTAGATTTTTCTTGAAGGTTGGGTGATTTTGAGAAATGAACTGTTATAACAACAACATTTTTAAACATCCAGCACCTGGGAAACATAAAGAGAGAAATATTATTTTCCACCCTGGTTATAGGCCTAAGCCATGTCAAAATACATAAAATATAAGGAAATGAGCTTTAAAACAAGCGTTTTCCTGGAGGAGGACCCCAGACCTCCGTCTAGGGGTTGTGCCAGGAGGCAATGAAATTCACATAGCAAATCTCACTCCAAGATTTCTTCAAAAGTTGGCAGCCCTGGTTTAGCGGTTATGGTATGACGGTTTGGCTTGGAGTGGTTTTTGCTCCTGATCACAGACAGCTGATGTGTTGTGCACTGAAGTCCACAAGTGAAAGGAAAAAGGTGAGAGGAGGAGAGCGCGTAGATGTGATGGTGCTGTATGTGGCTGCTATGAACGTGAACTGTGTGTGCGGGTGATCAGGGGTGTATTCATTCTGCCAATTCTGTTGCAAAACGTTTCTTAAATGGAAGCAAACGGAACGGGGAGGGACCTAACTGAAAAACAAATCGTTTTGCAACTGTTTGGACTAATGATTACACCCCAGATCAGCTAGATGCAGGCAAAAGTGTGCAGGGCAGTATTGAATGTGTCACTGTCTGTCACCTTAATTACTCCAGGGTGAATGGAATATGAATGACAGTCATCCAATATGCTGTAAAATGAAACGGCACTGACCCCCACTGGCTGGGAGGGAAGGCACACACACTGTTTCTTACTTGAGGAAGCTCCATGCGAGGCAGGGGGAGAGACAGTGCAGGACACAGGTGGGCAGGTTGAAGATGGAACAGAGGCTGGGCTCCAGCGCTGTGGGACCTCCTCCGTTAATCATCACTACCTTGTGGACCTGGTCTGGGTACTCATGGGCCAGAAACGTACAGAACGACACACTGCAGACAGACAGACAGACAGACAGACAGACAGACAGACAGACAGACAGACAGACAGACAGACAGACAGACAGACAGACAGACAGACAGACAGACAGACAGACAGACAGACAGACAAAAAGGGGGAGAGACAAAGAGAGAGAAACAGAGAGAGAGAGACAGACAGACAGAAAGAGAGAGACAGAAAGAGAGAGATAGTTGCTGTTAATGGTAATCCCATTTCCACTACTACTATTATTATTGCTGTTGGTCCTACCATTTTTGTTATATGTATACTTTGACAATGTAAGTAATTTAACTTGCCATGTCAATAAAGTCTATTGAATTGAATTGATAGAGAGAGAACAAGAGACAGAAAGAGAGAGATAGAGAGAGCGAGAGACAGAAAGAGAGAGATCGGGAGAGAGAGTGTAATGTTTACTGTACATTTTTTTATTGTTTATTTCACTTTTGTTTATTATCTACTTCACTTGCTTTGGCAATGTTAACATACGTTTCCCATGCCAATAAAGCCCTTACATTGAATTGAAGAGAGAGAGAGAGAGAGAGAGAGAGAGAGAGAGAGAGAGAGAGAGAGAGAGAGAGAGAGAGAGAGAGAGAGAGAGAGAGAGAGAGAGAGAGAGAGAGAGAGAGAGAGAGAGAGAGAGAGAGAGAGAGAGAGAAATCAGATATCAGTCGGGGAGATCAAAAGACAGAGGTCCTTTATGTTTTGTTCATTATGTAGTGTTCATTATGTCGTGTTCATTATGTCGTGTTCATTATGTAGTGTCTGTAGCTAACACACTTCCGTCTTCTCACCCGTAGGAGTGTCCAATGAGGATATTCCTCTTCCGTGCGTATCTCTTAAAGATGGCCCTCATGTCCTCAGCCAGGGCGTAGAACGTGTACGCTGCCGCGATCTGAGGCGCCGAGCTCGCCCCGTGACCCGCCAGGTCGGGCGCGATGACCTCATAGCCCAGACGGGAGAAGAAGTCCAGCTGGCTGCCCCAGATGTCGAGGGAACCGCCCACGCCGTGCACGAAGAACAGTGCCACGTCCGCATGTGTCCCCTTACACGACGTGATCTTCCTCTCGCTGTCAATCACCACTGTGCGTTTGGGCTTCCGCCGCCGCTTCTGGGGCTGCTGGGTCGGATCTGGGGCTGATCCGAGGGTCGGGGCTGGAGATGTCGCCGCTCCCCCCGTTCCAACCACTGACCCTGTCTTGTCCACTTTGGAGTCAGGGGTGGGAGTTGGATTGGAAGGTGGATCCGCGAGCTCCACCTCCACGGTACAGTTGCGTTCTGTTTCTCCGTTCTGGGCATGTAACAGCTCCTGTCTCACCGCGTCCCCCAGGTTCTCTATCAGTAGCTGTCCGTTACGGTACACTGTGATCTTCCTCTTACAGTGGACGCTTCCCCCCGGCCCCCTGGGCTCATCCACCACCTCCCGCTCTGGGATGATGTGTCGTACCCTCAGGACACGACCCGGTTTGACCTCCACGAACTCGTAGCCGTCGGCGGGTTCCGAGGTTTCTATGGGAACCACGACGTTGGCCGACTTCCCTGTCAGGCAGCAGAGGAGGCCGTCCATTAAGGTGGTCAACATGGCTGCCCTTGTAGGGAAACACACACACACACACACAGACACACACAGACAAAAACATCTATTGCATATGACTCATGAGGGTAATAATGTCTGACCCTACACAGTCTGCTGTTTTACTACACACACAACATATGCTCACAAACCCACTCACAGCACGCACACACAAACACACGCTAGTAGGATGATCCCTATTCTAAATATAATAATAATAATAATATGCCATTTAGCAGACGCTTTTATCCAAAGCGACTTACAGTCATGCGTGCATACATTTTTACGTATGGGTGGTCCCGGGGATCGAACCCACTACCCTGGCGTTACAAGCGCCATGCTCAACCAATTGAGCTACAGAGGTAAGGTTAGTCATAGTGCCACAGAATAATGAGCACACAATATCTCAGCGATGGAAGAGTGACTCCTTAGACACGTCGGTGACTAGTTAAAGCTTGGCAACATTCCTTCAGACGTGGCTTATTAATAGGCTCTTATATGCAGCCTCTTCCTCTAGCAAGGCCTTATGGGTATTCATAGAAAAGCCTATTCCTCTAGCAAGGCCTTATGGGTATTAATAGAAAAGCCTCTTCCTCTAGCAAGGCCTTATGGGTATTCATAGAAAAGCCTCTTCCTCTAGCAAGGCCTTATGGGTATTCATAGAAAAGCCTCTTCCTCTAGCAAGGCCTTATGGGTATTCATAGAAAAGCCTATTCCTCTAGCAAGGCCTTATGGGTATTCATAGAAAAGCCTATTCCTCTAGCAAGGCCTTATGGGTATTAATAGAAAAGCCTCTTCCTCTAGCAAGGCCTTATGGGTATTCATAGAAAAGCCTCTTCCTCTAGCAAGGCCTTATGGGTATTCATAGAAAAGCCTCTTCCTCTAGCAAGGCCTTATGGGTATTCATAGAAAAGCCTCTTCCTCTAGCAAGGCCTTATGGGTATTCATAGAAAAGCCTCTTCCTCTAGCAAGGCCTTATGGGTATTCATAGAAAAGCCTCTTCCTCTAGCAAGGCCTTATGGGTATTCATAGAAAAGCCTCTTCCTCTAGCAAGGCCTTATGGGTATTCATAGAAAATGACAGTAATAGCCCATGGCTGAGTTAAAGACGGTTACAGTGTGACAATGGGTCCACTCGGTGTCTTCCAGAATCATTTTCGGGCTGTTACAATCTGATTATGGAAAAGTTTTTTTGGGGAGTGGGACTACTCTGAATGAAGCGAAGATTACATGCATTCACACACGCACATCACGCACACATAATCTGGCTCAGAACAGCCTCTGTAAGGGGATTGGGGTGTGGCTCTTCTTTAAGATCCATTTCTTTCAAATCAAATGACTTGAATGTCAAGTGTGTTTGAGGTGAAGATTCATTTAATTGAAGGTTTTATTGTGCTACTCTCGAGGGAGGAGCGTCAACGTTTTAAACATTGTCACAACCTACTGACAAAATGTTCCTGACAAAACAATCAAACCAAACCACATCGTTACAACTACTGACATATTTATTCACACGTCATCCTCTCACTGATTCCCTAACGTATTGTTGTTTATCAGACTGGCAACAGCAGAGAGAGTCTGGGTCTGTTTCCTGTTGTTGTTTATCAGACTGGCAACAGCAGAGAGAGTCTGGGTCTGTTTCCTGTTGTTGTTTATCAGACTGGCAACAGCAGAGAGAGTCTGGGTCTGTTTCCTGTTGTTGTTTATCAGACTGGCAACAGCAGAGAGAGTCTGGGTCTGTTTCCTGTTGTTGTTTATCAGACTGGCAACAGCAGAGAGAGTCTGGGTCTGTTTCCTGTTGTTGTTTATCAGACTGGCAACAGCAGAGAGAGTCTGGGTCTGTTTCCTGTTGTTGTTTATCAGACTGGCAACAGCAGAGAGAGTCTGGGTCTGTTTCCTGTTGTTGTTTATCAGACTGGCAACAGCAGAGAGAGTCTGGGTCTGTTTCCTGTTGTTGTTTATCAGACTGGCAACAGCAGAGAGAGTCTGGGTCTGTTTCCTGTTGTTGTTTATCAGACTGGCAACAGCAGAGAGAGTCTGGGTCTGTTTCCTGTTGTTGTTTATCAGACTGGCAACAGCAGAGAGAGTCTGGGTCTGTTTCCTGTTGTTGTTTATCAGACTGGCAACAGCAGAGAGAGTCTGGGTCTGTTTCCTGTTGTTGTTTATCAGACTGGCAACAGCAGAGAGAGTCTGGGTCTGTTTCCTGTTGTTGTTTATCAGACTGGCAACAGCAGAGAGAGTCTGGGTCTGTTTCCTGTTGTTGTTTATCAGACTGGCAACAGCAGAGAGAGTCTGGGTCTGTTTCCTGTTGTTGTTTATCAGACTGGCAACAGCAGAGAGAGTCTGGGTCTGTTTCCTGTTGTTGTTTATCAGACTGGCAACAGCAGAGAGAGTCTGGGTCTGTTTCCTGTTGTTGTTTATCAGACTGGCAACAGCAGAGAGAGTCTGGGTCTGTTTCCTGTTGTTGTTTATCAGACTGGCAACAGCAGAGAGAGTCTGGGTCTGTTTCCTGTTGTTGTTTATCAGACTGGCAACAGCAGAGAGAGTCTGGGTCTGTTTCCTGTTGTTGTTTATCAGACTGGCAACAGCAGAGAGAGTCTGGGTCTGTTTCCTGTTGTTGTTTATCAGACTGGCAACAGCAGAGAGAGTCTGGGTCTGTTTCCTGTTGTTGTTTATCAGACTGGCAACAGCAGAGAGAGTCTGGGTCTGTTTCCTGTTGTTGTTTATCAGACTGGCAACAGCAGAGAGAGTCTGGGTCTGTTTCCTGTTGTTGTTTATCAGACTGGCAACAGCAGAGAGAGTCTGGGTCTGTTTCCTGTTGTTGTTTATCAGACTGGCAACAGCAGAGAGAGTCTGGGTCTGTTTCCTGTAGTATTAGTCTGCCTGCTGCTCTCCTCTCCTCTCTTTCCCGGGAAAGAGGGATTATACCTCTCTTTTTTTCTCTCCCTCCACTCCACACACACTGCAATCTGTTTCTCTGTGTCCTTCCTAGAAATAAATGTCCTTCCTAGAAATAAAATCGAGTAGAATATAATAGAATCGAGTAGAATAGAATATAATAGAACAGAGTAGAATGGAACAGAGTAGAATAGAGTGGAGTAGAATAGAATAGAGTAGAATAGAACAGAGTAGAATAGAGTAGAATAGAATAGAGTAGAATAGAGTAGAATAGAGTAGAATATAATAGGGTAGAACAGAATAGAGTAGAATAGAATAGAGTAGAATAGAATATGCTGGTGATGTCTTTTCATTTGAGGCTTGATGTTGGACCTAGCTACCCACTTCAACCCCAAGAAAACCAATGTGATGACGTTGAATCAACGTGGAAAACTGATTGGATTTGCAAAAAGTCATCAACATAAGGGCAATTCGTCATTTTTAACCTAAATCCAATGACTTGGTGACATTTTTTGTTGAGCTCAAGTTGAATTGATGTTAGTTGACAACTCAACGACATGTAAATCAAAACTTGACATCTATGCCCAGTGGGTATGCTCTTTGTGCAAATGCAGACTGTTCAACCTCAGCCCTACTGGTCACTGTGATTGGATAAGGAGGATTATAGTAACACTTTCACACATCATTCCTCTCCTCTCTTTTACCCTCTCTTTTACCCTCTCCTTTACCCTCTCTTCCCAGTGTTCTGCAGTGATGTGTGTTTTGTGATAACTGTAGGCCTTGACGTCTGACACATCAGGTTTGAACATCCTAAATCCGGGACAAGGTTCGCCTTGATAGCAAACGTGTCCCTGGCCTTGACTACTGTGGTGTTGCCCTCCGTTTCCTCTCAGTGTAGGTTCAGAAAGGGGGCATCCCGTAAGGCCAGAACGTAAAGACCTGTACTGTGTTTAAGACGTAAATGTTGTTCTACTGTATCTTAGTCCATGCCGCTCTGACATCTCTCGTCCATATATGTATATATTCTTAATTCATTCCTTACCTAGATTTGTGTGTATTGGGTATATGTTGGGAAATTGTTAGATATTACTTGTTAGATATTACTGCACTGTCGGAGCTAGAAGCACAAGCATTTCGCTACAACCGCAATAACATCTGCTAAACATGTGTATGTGACCAATAAAATTTGATTTGATTTGAATTTATGAGTACATATATAATAGCTTATTTGTCATCTATCATGTCTACCACAGACCATACACCTTACTGTTAATAAGTAGTCATGTCAGGTCTAATTTGAGGTAGAATATACAGTGCCTTCAGAAAGTATTCATACCCCTTGACTTATTCCACATTTTGTTGTGTTACAGCCTGAATTCAAAATGGATTCAATTGATTTTTTCTCTCTCAACCATCTACACACAATACCCATAATACCCATAATGACAAAGTGCATTTTTTTTATTTATTATTGTTGCACATTTATTGAAATAAAATACAGAAATATACCATTTACATAAGTATTCACACCCCTGAGTCAATACTTTGTAGAAGCACCTTTGGCAGCGATTACAGCTGTGAGCCTTTCTGGGTAAGTCTCTAAGAGCTTTCCACACCTGGATTGTGCAATATCTGCCCACTATTATTTTATAAATTCTTCAAGCTCTGTCAAATTGGTTGTTGATCATTGCTAGACAACCATTTCCAGGTCTTGCCATAGATGTTCTAGTAGATTTAAGTCAAAACTGTAACTCGGCCACTCAGGAACATTCAATGTCATCTTGGTAAGCATCTCCAGTATAGATTTGGCCTTGTGTTTTAGGTTATTGTCCTGCTAAAAGGTGAATTTATCTCTCAGTGTCTGGTGGAAAGCAGACTGAAACAGGTTTCCCTCTAGGATTCTGCCTATGCAAAGCTCCATTCCGTTTCTTTTTTATCCTGAAAAACTCCCCAGTCAATTACAAGCATACCCATAAGATGATGCAGCCACCACTATGCTTGAAAATATGGGAGAGTGGTACTCAGTAATGTGTTGTATTGGATTTGCCCCAAACACTTTGTATTCAGGACAAAAAGTTAATTGCTTTGCCACATTATTTGCAGTATTACTTTAGTGCCTTGTTGCAAACAGGATGCATGTTTTGGAATATTTTTATTCTGTACAGGCTTCCTTCTTTTCAGTCTGTCAATTAGGCTAGTATTGTGGAGTAACTACAATGTTGTTGATCCATCCTCAGTTTTCTCCTATCACAGCCATTACATTCTGTAACTGTTTCAAAGTTACCATTGGTGAAATCCCTGAGCGGTTTCCTTCCTCTCTGGCAACTGAGTTAGGAAGGATGTATGTACAGTATATCTGTAGTGACTGGGTGTATTGATACACCATCCAAAGTGTAAATAATAACCTCACCATGCTCAAAGGGATATTCAATGTCTTTTACCAATCTACCACTATGTGCCCTTCTTTGCGAGGCATTAGAAAAACTCCCTGGTCTTTGTGGTTGAATCTGTATTTGAAATTCACTGCTCGACTGACAGGTACAGAGATGAGGTGGTCATTCAAAAATCATGTTGCACACTATTATTGCACACAAAGTGAGTCCATGCAATTTATAATCCCGACTTGTTAAGCAAATTTGTACTCCTGAATTTATTTAGGCTTGCCATAACAAACGGGTTGAATACTCATCAACTCAAGACATTTCAGCTTTTAGTTGTAATTAATTTGTAAACATTTCTAAAAACATCATTCCACTTTGACATCCTGGGGTATTGTGTGTAGACAGACCAGTGACTCTTTTCTCTCTCTCAATTTAATCAATTTAGGCTGTAACACTATTTTTTTTTTCTCCAATAAATCAAGGGGTGTGAATGTGGTCCTCTGTAGCTCAGCTGGTAGAGCACGGCGCTTGTAACGCCAAGGTAGTGGGTTCGATCCCCGGGAACACCCATACACAAAAAAAAAAATGTATGCACGCATGACTGTAAGTCGCTTTGGATAAAAGCGTCTGCTAAATGGCATATTATTATTTATTATTATAATACTTTCTGAAGGCACTGTAGATAAACAGTGTCTTCCTGCCTAAAAGTATTTAAACCACACCTCCTTTTCCCAGCAGTCTCCCTCAGTGTTCATAATAACTGGGGTTAAAGACACTACGGCTCTAAATTATTCAGAATTCCAGTGGTGCCTGAAAACCCCTCAGACGTGTCTCGTCACAACACTCTGAATGACAAATCCCTGAGTGGGACCTCTTGCATTAATCCCACAGACAGCAACCGTGGGCTGTTTTGTGGTTTGGCAAACAATGATTTGACATCACTCATACTCCTACGCTGTGGATCTGTTCCCGATTTAATTCATTTTGCTGATGTTGACATCATTCATGTGGTCTTATCTGAATAATATGCCTACAGCAATGAGTGTTCAGAGAAACTGCCACCCAGTGTCTTGGCCAATAACGCTGTTATTATGATGTACTCAGCATACAATGCATGAAACTGGCCACGAATAGCAAAAATCCCACTGAAGTCCCACACACATTCTTATTGTACACACTCATTCAAATTACCCCACTGTCTACTTTCTGTCTACCCACTGAGGAACAAGAGCGTACACTTTTTGGCAACTCCAGACAATTTCCTTTGGGTCAAAATCTCAGTTTGATCCACCTGTGATATGCTAATCTTGTCACCCCTTCCAAAATCTCAGTTTGGTCCATCTGTGATATGCCAATGTTGTCACCGCTCCAAATTGGTCAGTAATATATGCAGGGCTAGCAGTAGCACTACACAGTATTCCTGCCAATGGCGTAGTTAAGACAGTGTTACATAAGCCCAGACCAAAGGGTAGTCATCCCTGCGTAGGGATTGGCGCCCAGAAAAGACCATACATCATCAGATGGATTAGAACTCACTATGGCCTCAGAGTGTTGACAGTCTCAGGCCTGCTAAGGGTCAACAAACACTAACAATAATCCCTCTCCTTCTGAGAGGTGTGACTTCAGGCATGCTTCTGTTCTGCAAGATGCATGGTAACCAGCCCAGCTGTCTCCATGGAGATGGCAGCGTCTATAACTACAACCATTTAGCAAGTCGGACATTTCTACGTTTCCTAGTTCCAACTAGCACGTCAACGCGGCAGCATCCTCAGAAGTTGGATCTGTCAACATCTTGTTATCAAGGATGCCACTTTGCTGTTCAGAAATACCATGCATCTTGCAGAACAGAAGCATGTCTGTGTGGGAGCATACCAGCTTTAGTAGCTGGGGAAGAATCAGCCTTTCAAAGCTCTTCACCACTAAAGGTTAAAGCTACAGGGTAGTAGTCATTGTTGCAGGAGGAGTTGCTCTTTTTAGGTACTGGGCTTATGGTGGACGATTTCCATATTATTGGGATGGAATGTTCTGCCAGAGAGCGGTTGAAGAGCTCACAGAAAACACCTGCCAGTTGCTTATGGCACACATTAAAGTAAGCGAACACTGATGTTGTCTGGCCCAGGTGCTTTGCCTTGTTTTGTCCTTTTAAACATAGCTTCCACATCTTTTGGTTGCAGCTCGACAATTGTGTAACAGTGTGAGACATGTTAGATAGGTCAGAGATAAGCTTTTCCCTTTCCATTGCTAAGTCATGTGTGTCAAATCTACAATAACAACTGTTAAGATTCTCTGCAGGTCAATAGTCTTTTTTTTTTTTGGGAGCAGGGGACAGTTTGGGTGTTATTAAGGCCTGGCAGTGTTTTCACACCCCTCCAAGCCTCTTTATCCTCCTGAAAGAGCCTATCCATCTTCTCCTTGTACACTCTCTTGGCCTGTTTCATCTGCGTTTTTAATTTGGATTGAATTAGTTTACCCTCAACCTTGTTGCCAGTGGTAAATGCTATTTTCTTTTCATTTTAAGTTGTTTTCTGGTCCTTTGTGATCCAGGGTTTGTTGTTAGAAAATACATTTACAGTTTTGGAAGGAACAATAATCTCCTCACAGAAATGAATACAGTCAGTGATAGCTTCAGTGGCCTCCTCAAGGCTTGCTCCCTCTCTGAACACACTCCCGTCTGCAGAGTCAAAGCAGCCCGCCTGCAGAGTCAAAGCAGCCCGCCTGCAGAGTCAAAGCAGCCCGCCTGCAGAGTCAAAGCAGCCCGCCTGCAGAGTCAAAGCAGCCCGCCTGCAGAGTCAAAGCAGCCTGCCTGCAGAGTCAAAGCAGCCCGCCTGCAGAGTCAAAGCAGCCCTGTAAGGTATCATAGTCCCATTTTTTTCTGACCACTTTCTTAACCACACCTTGTAGTTTGGTGCGATAGACTGGCATTAAATAAGGTGTCGAAATCTGGATTTCAGGCTGTAAATTCATGAACTGTAGGCAATAGGTTCTGTACTAAACCAGAGGCCAAGTTGACCAACCAAGAGAGAAGTCTATTTGGTACTAAAAACACACTAATTTCTAAATGCTGCTGAGAATTTGTTCCTTGTCCTCCAATGGACTGGTGTCTGCTGGAGGGTCCAATCAATACAAAGCAACACATCACTTGGCCTATCGCTGGTTGACATCTTCAAAACAATCCATAGGATAGGAGCTTTGTCTTGAATACAAATCATCTAAAAAGTAGGTCATAAAACCAATCAAACACAGTTGGTGTGACATTAAATACTACAAAAGACACCCTAAAGGTAGTCTGGAACATTATTTTAATGACTATGTATTCTTTATCTAGTTAGTATGAATGTATGCACTCACTAACTGTAAGTCGCTCTGGATAAGAGCGTCTGCTAAATGACTAAAATGTAAAATGTTATATAATTATTATTACAAATTACATTAAATATTTAGCATCCAAGCTTATTTTGAAAACCTCAACCAGGAATGTACAATATAATCTCAGGAAATACCATGCAATATGGCTGTGCAAAGAACAATTCTTGTCTTTACTATTCAATTTTCTAGGTCTCCATTCCACAGACAGAGCGTGCGCAGACTGCGCACTGCCGGTCTGAATGGGCAACTGAACCAGCGTCTGATGCGACAAATATACAGCGAATGCCAGAATGTTTTTCACCTTTTGTTCACCAGATTACAAGATACATTCGATCAGCCATGCCACTTTACACACATGTAATATCACATCCCCATTTTGGTATTTGATTTAGGCTAATTAAATTCTGAGAATTCGTTATGCAATTGGTTTAGCAGATCTGCCAATTTCCCAGTGCGTGTTCTTTTTGCCATTTGTTGACACAACATACCATCATAATCATACATCAAGCTTCATACCCATACATTCTCATTTCTCAATAACGAAGAATCTTACCTTATTTTTGTCGACGTCCACAGGAGTAAAATTATTGGATAATACGCTTCTTTCTCGTATACTGCGTCTTCGAAACAGGAGCTCTATAATCTGTTGCAGCCAATCCAATAAACTAATCTAATTGGAGTCTGCAGCACTGTTCTCAACCTCAACATTCTCACCCGCTAGTTTACATGGCTACTACAATTTAAAAGAAAGGTGCGTTTATCAATTCCATTGCATCTTGGACGTGCCTGTGGACGCATAGTAGACGCGCACGCCAGGTGTCTACATGTGCAAGTTTTTATCTATAAAGCGCACAGTTCACGCTTGTCCAACTGTTCCATACCCTCGTCCTGTATCCGTATCATGGAGCTGCCCCCTCCCGCTTGACTGACGTGCGAGAGAGCCAGCTCTAGACACAACAGCCACCACCAGCCGACCAATCACACATAGCCCCTGTTGCTACTAACAAGAGAAAATATTTAATACATATTGGAATATGCAGCATACTTTGCGAGCAGAACTCTACCAAAATCTACCCCTGCAAGACGCATATAATTAAGTGTAGGACTAATATCCATTTCAAGGTCATATTCTCCCTACAGCGCTTCGTTGTGAAGTAACCAGCCCAGCTGTCTCCATGGAGATGGCAGCCTATACATGATACATTGGGAACAGTGTGTGCCACTTTGTTCACCTCCTAGCTGACACACTGCTGATACAGGGGGAATGTAATCTTTTGAAGTGATAATGCCCGAGAAGCCGGTGTTTGTTGGATATATTGGCACTGTCTCGCCCCGACTCCCGACACGTTCAATACTATGGGACAGCAGGAGGTCGAATTTGAATATTGAAACAATGTTGCAAATGTCGGAGAGACAGACAGCAAGGTTTCTACAAATCTCCACTGTTGAAAACTAAATGTTGGTCTAAAAGAAATGTGAGTTAATGTCTAAATGCTTTTTATAGTGGAGATCAAGTTCATAAAGTGCCTGACTGGGTTGATGAGAAAGTGGATTGCGCAGTCTGATGGAACAGTGTAAATAGGCGTTTTAACCTCATAGATTTAGCTGGAGGTAATAGACACCGGCTGGAAAATGGTTTCAACCAATCAGCTTTCAGGATTAGACCCACCCGTTGTATAATCATGGATAAACAGTCCCTGAAAAGTGCAATTTCAGTAAAAACAGTTTAGTTGTTTCTGTTTACACTAGAAAATATTTGAAATTGTAACTGATAAAGCCAATACATCCCATTGGTTTCCAAACAAGTGTATAGGGAAAATGCTAAATCTTTCCATAATCATAATACCACCCATCTTCCTCTCTAGTCATCCTCCTCTAGCTGACAACTGCTGCTGATGCAGTTGCTATTGGGTTTGTTGCTAAGGAACCGTTACCAGGGGTCCAGATGCCAGAGAGGCGAGACCAGGCAGACTTCCATACACCAGCAGTCACTCAGAGACAGAAGTATGATGCCCTGGTGACGGCCTATTCTCAGCCATGTTTCACACATAGGCCTACCACAGAAATAATCACAGACTAAGCAGCTACATAGGTCTCAAATAAAGTTTATACATTTGCTGCAATTGCATGTTATAGGCCTTACATCAATTTATTCAAAAAGTATTATGGGATAGCTGTATACCATGTTTATTAACCTATATGTGTAATTAAAGTAGGATATTCCAAGGCCTTTACACAATAGCAGTGAAGCAGAGTGCCAATAGAGAGCAGTTACCTACAAAGCAAACCCATGTCTCATTAAGGTCCAGTATCCTAGCACTAGTGAAGAAGAACTGGACGGGTGAAAGCACATTCCATAGAGTCTGCATTTATATGTTAGATCAAGGAGAGAAAGGAATCTACTAGATGCATCACTTCCATTCTTCCCTGCCCTTATCTGTCAACCAAGCCCAAGTTTTTGGGTGGGGCTAAAAAATGATAGGCAGCTTTCTGTCCAATTACGATGCGATATATCGTGGTCTTAGACCACGTGGGATAGGTTGATAGCCAATGGATATGCTAGGGTTGGAGCTGTAAATGCAGCATTTAGCTACCATCATGCAAAAGAGTTAGCCACGAAGCTAAGCTGTTTACATGTATTTATGGCCATGAGCATGTGCCTCACTGTACTTTATACGGTGTTTACAGATTACAGGTGATGGAGTTGGACGCAAGAATGTTTACAACAGCGTGATTCCAATAACAAGTGAATGTGGAGGATTTCATAAACGTTGGCTAGGCTTAAGAGCAACTAGCTAGCTAACTATCCAGCTAACGACCGTTAGCTCGCTAAAACAGCTAGCTTTGGCTAGCTAACGTTAGCTACCTGCCACACTATCTATCCATCTGCAAGATATCAGTCGGCGTCTCGTCGTGGGACACTAAAAAGGGAACACCATGGATAAGGTAGCTAACTTAACAGCAAAACATTGTGTGAAGAGAAAGCCTATAGCTTGACAACTTAGTTATGGCAGTTTGGCTAGCTAGCTAGTTAGCCTAACGTTAGCTAATGTCAATGTAGTGATCTTATCATGTGGCTGTTTATCTGAGTTGTTTAATCGGATGATCTCAAGTAGTTATCTAGCTAGCAATCTGTCTTCTTGGTAACATTCATGTTTCCATTGAAGACTTGGCTAACTTGTATCTTAGCTAGCCAGATAGAATCCACCAAACAGACAGACAGACAGGAAACGCCCAGTGTCAGCCACCATGGATTAGCCCCCGGTTTCGAGCAGGGCAGAGGTGTACCCCACCCCACCCATGGCATGTTGTCCCCCACCCCACCCATGGCATGTTGTCCCCCACCCCACCCATGGCATGTTGTCCCCCACCCCACCCCACCCCACCCATGGCATGTTGTCCCCCACCCCACCCATGGCATGGTGTCTTGGAGGAGGGGACACGTACTCCAGAACGTTAGCAGTGTTCTTTGCTTCTCTCTTTGTCTAGTTTGAACCAAACGCTGTCAAATGGGCTATAGAGCATCCACATTTAGTTAGAGACCTACCTAGAGCAGTCACCCCTGAGCTACAGGATGGAAGATGCTCTGCAAAATTTTCATTTTTGGATTCAGTCTACACCTTTACCCATACAACACAAACCGAATACTTTTCTTTTTCTAAAGGCGGATTTCTTAAAGGGTCTCCCCGTTTACAACAAGAGCAACTTCAGCCGGTTCCATGCAGACTCTGTGTGTAAAGCATCGGTAAGCGTTGACTCTCAAATCTATCAGAACATTTCCCATGTAAAGTGAATGAGAGATTAACATCATCAGTCTTGCTCCATCTGAATATCTATGAATGACTTTTTACAGAACCGAAGACCGTCCGTGTACCTCCCGACATGCGAGTACCCCTCAGAACAGAGTAATTACCTCCATTCTTAGTAGAGAGAACAGACTTCATGGAAATTCTTTATTTAGTTTTTCTTGGGGAAAAATGTACTGCTAGAAATACATAAATATGTTTTGAGAGGGGGATGAAATCTGAGTTTTGAAATTGAAATTCTCTTTTACTTACCAGTTATTGTCACAGAGAAAACCAATATCCTCCTGCGCTACCTTCATCATCAGTGGGACAAAAAGGTGAGGTTTTGGAGGGGTTCTCAGTCCTGAATAAATAGATGATATTCAGGTGTCATGCAGGAGTAACAGTTATAACCTGTCACAGACCAGGCACTGGGAAGCATGGTCAGCCATGCTCACTCTTAAACGGAACATCAACTTTGTGGAGCAGGTGTGTGTCCATGCTTTAAGTTTAGTTCCCTCTCTGTTGAACAGAACGCAGCGAAGAAGAGGGAACAGGAGCAAGGAGAGGGAGGGAGTCCAGCACCGCCACGCAAAATCGCCAGGACAGATAGCCAAGAGATGAACGAGGACTCTTAGGAGTGTGTGTGTGCATGGCTACGTGTGTGTGTGTGTGTATGTACGGATGCGTGCATCTGTGGAGGAAGCACACGGACAAGCCCACAACGACAGACATAAGAGGAGAGACGTGAAGACATACGAAACACGGACAAACAACCTGAGAACAAGTCCCCCCTGGTTTGGGAAAGACAAAACATTTTTTGTTGTTGTTGTTACCTTCTGCAAAGAGCTTCCTGCCAGGTCCAGTGCAGTTTTCAGCTTCACTGCCCAGCCTTGGCCACATGGGGGTGCTGCAACATCTTTCCACACAGTTTGCTTCGGCAGACACAAGTATACATTGTGATTGTGAACCGCTACTTGCCAAAACCCGGCCGCCACAACAGGAGAAGAAACTGCCCCCCCACCCCCCAGACTTGTGTTAATGTTCAATATGCATTATCTTCCATGATTCTGTTTTGAATTTGTGTGTGTTTGAAGTTTGTGCTGGCTTGTTTTACTGTACATTTTAGGACTGAACTCTTTCCTCATGTATTGCCCCCTACTGGTCAATAGGGATAACATGACAAGTGACTCAACAGTTTACTAGCTTAGTTTGAATGTTTGCAGCTTTCTTGCAATGTATCGCTGTTAAACAGGGTATTATAGAATCGCAAGCCAAATTGTTTTTTGTCACCAGGTGTTGACTATTCACTTTACCAGAATTGTTTGGAATTTGTTTACACTGCAATCGATGGACCCATTATGTATGTTTGTGAAGATCTCACCTTACCTGCACAACCAAGTGATAGCAGAGGTAGAGCAAAGAATAGTAGCCTATGTCAATATGATGGGTGGAGAGAGATTGTTGTATTCAGTATTAAGACCAATGAAAATACTATAGCCAGCTGTTAGATATTAAGGTCTCGGCTTTATATTTCTCAAAATAAATGACATTGCATCTGCCTTTTTGTAAAATAAATATATGTAGCTACATGGATATTATACTAAGTCCTTTGTGTAAATGTTGAGAAGCACTGATACCCGATGGTTGTTATCTTGCCTTGCATGTCTGTTTTTGACAACTTCCCGGGCTGGGGGGCGTTGTGTGGAGAAGAGGATACAGGGAAATATACCACAGGAGGTTTGTGGTACCTTAATGGGGAGGACGGGCTCGAGGTAAAGGCTGGAGCGCAATCAGTGGAATGGTATCAAATACATGAAACCCATGGTTTCCATTTATTTGATACCATTCCAAATGCTCTGTTCCAGACATTATTATGAGCCGTCCTTCCCTCAGCAGTCTTCTGTGGTATCCAGTAACAGACCACATGCCATGGAATGCATGAACAGCAAGGTGCAGTCACCATCCTGCCTTGTTCCAGAAATTCAACTTGTACTTGTGTTGTACTACTGTACAATACTACACTGAATTCTGGAGTTTATTTAGTGAGGTGAAACACTCAGAACGCTGCAAATAGAAATGTAATGAGCTGACATGAGTAGTATCTGCTCTATATTATATATTTCTATAAACTTTTTGTTATGTTGGACCCTTCTGAACAGGCCCCAGACCTTTAATGTTTACACTGCCCAACAAAGTCACAGCAAGTCTCTTTTCCGCTCAGCTCCAGATGCTGCAATCAATGTGTTTCCTACTGTACCTGCCATCCTCTGACTTTGAAGCGTAAAGACATGCTATGCTTCTGCTAGACTAGACTGTTCTGAATATCCACTCTATGCTTCTGCTAGACTAGACTGTTCTGAATATCCACTCTATGCTTCTGCTAGACTAGACTGTTCTGAATATCCACTCTATGCTTCTGCTAGACTAGACTGTTCTGAATATCCACTCTATGCTTCTGCTAGACTAGACTGTTCTGAATATCCACTCTATGCTTCTGCTAGACTAGACTGTTCTGAATATCCACTCTATACTTCTGCTAGACTAGACTGTTCTGAATATCCACTCTATGCTTCTGCTAGACTAGACTGTTCTGAATAATCACTCTATGTTTCTGCTAGACTAGACTGTTCTGAATATCCACTCTATGCTTCTGCTAGACTAGACTGTTCTGAATATCCACTCTACGCCTCACCCTGTTTTATTGTGTATTAGGTCAAACATTATTTTCAGCTTCGCTCAAATAAAAACAGTGATCAAAAAGTAATGTCCGTTGTCATGTTATTGAGACAATGTACACTACCGTTCAGAAGTTTGGGGTCACTTAGAAATGTCCTTGTTGTGGGTTCGATTACAGGCTCAAAATGGCCAGAAACAAATAACTTTCTTCTGAAACTCGTCAGTCTATTCTTGTTCTGAGAAATGAAGGCTATTCTATGCGAGAAATTGCCAAGAAACTGAAGATCTCGTACAACGCTGTGTACTACTCCCTTCACAGAACAGCGCAAACTGGCTCTAACCAGAATAGAAAGAGGAGTGGGAGGCCCCGGTGCACAACTGAGCAAGAGGACAAATACATTAGAGTGTCTAGTTTGAGAAACAGTGCTAACATAATTGCAAAAGGGTTTTTCTAATGATCAACTAGCCTTTTAAAATGATAAACTTGGATTGGCAAACACAACGTGCCATTGGAACACAGGACTGATGGTTGCTGATAATGGGCCTCTCTACGCCTATGTAGATATTCCATAAAAAATCAGCAGTTTCCAGATACAATAGCCATTTACAACATTAACAATGTCTACACTGTATTTCTGATCAATTTGATGTTATTTTAATGGCCCAAAAAATGGCATTTCTTTCGAAAACAAGGACATTTCTAAGTGACCCCACACTTTTGAACGGTAGTGTAATTTGTACATTTGTTTCACACTTTTATATTTTGTGTGTGTAAACAAGAACACATTTCAATTTAAAAATGTTTTATTATCTATATTTCAGATCTTACAAAAATATGACAAAATAAATTAAAAGAAATAAATAATCCCATTTCCCAGTATCATATTTTTCTTGAAAAGATAATGTTTTTTTTTGTTTTTTTTGTACAGTGGTACATTGGAAGAGCACATGATGTCTGGTCAGTTAGTGAGGCTGTTATGAATATGTTTTTGTATTTAGTTAGGACAGCATAAAGGAAAAGGTTCTACATCCTGGTAGTAGGTGTACAGTACATCTCCCCTCATCCACTTTTACTGTCCAGTTCAATGATGACGCTGCAGTTACCCACTCCCCTGATAGGCTTATCCCATCAAACCAATACAGTAAAGTATTGTACTGCTTTAGAGGCTGGATTTAGACAACTGTCCCAAACAATGTTTCATTAACAAACTTCACTCTGCTCTCGTCTCACAACCCTTCTAAGCATTCGTAACTAAGCAGTGCAATGATAGAGCATCAAAAGGTAAACTCGTTCAGAGAACTTCCTTACAGTTTGAAAATACATCGTTGCATTGATACTGACATGAGCCATTTCACTACCTCAAAGCAGCTCTGTCTGATAAAACCTAACCATAAGGGTCAACATGTGTCTAGTGAGGCCAAAGGTCATGGACCATGATGGCCGCTGACCCAACAAAGGCTGCATCTCAATAGTCTCACTAACGCCGTCTCCTTTCCTTCATCTGCACTGATCTGAGAAAGAAAGGACAGGTCAAAGCAACATGTTAGTTGCATGCTGGGAATTTGCTTTCACATGTCCAGTTCTTTCCGATCAGTGATGGGGAATAGAGGAAGCCATTCAGAACTATTAAGTTGTTAACCAAGCCAGTCTGCTCCAGAGCCATAGCAGGCAGGTGTACCATGGACGATTGGTACTGACAATGGCCTACCACAGATTATCTCATCAAACATTTGTCTGATTGAGCATCTGCTTCACTACAGTAAATGAGAAATGTCTCAATCATGGCCTAGTTATTAGGCATTATTCCCAAATGAATGATGATGATCGTAACCAAATGGTTTCCTTATTTGTACAGAATGACTTAATTGGCTGTAGAGGAAATGTGATGGTAAGGTTAGACGTCACTCACTCCCACACAAACTGCTATTTCTCTTTCCTTATTGCCTTGAAGTGCCTTTTCAGCTCAAATCCCATGAAACTACTACTACTACCACTACTAGTTCAGTCAGTCAGAGCTGTAACTACTACTACCACTACTAGTTCAGTCAGTCAGAGCTGTAACTAGTACTACTACCACTACTAGTTCAGTCAGTCAGAGCTGTAACTAGTACTACTACCACTACTAGTTCAGTCAGTCAGAGCTGTAACTACTACTACTACCACTACTAGTTCAGTCAGTCAGAGCTGTAACTAGTACTACTACCACTACTAGTTCAGTCAGTCAGAGCTGTAACTACTACTACTACCACTACTAGTTCAGTCAGTCAGAGCTGTAACTAGTACTACTACCACTACTAGTTCAGTCAGTCAGAGCTGTAACTACTACTACTACCACTACTAGTTCAGTCAGTCAGAGCTGTAACTAGTACTACTACCACTACTAGTTCAGTCAGTCAGAGCTGTAACTAGTACTACTACCACTACTAGTTCAGTCAGTCAGAGCTGTAACTAGTACTACTACCACTACTAGTTCAGTCAGTCAGAGCTGTAACTAGTACTACTACCACTACTAGTTCAGTCAGTCAGAGCTGTAACTAGTACTACTACCACTACTAGTTCAGTCGGTCAGAGCTGTAACTAGTACTACTACCACTACTAGTTCAGTCGGTCAGAGCTCAATACTTAGTGTTGCCACAATGTTCATGAAAAGTCTCATTGCAGAAGCATGAACCATGCCATTATGTTGTAGCTTGAAGTACATTATAGATAGGCAATCCATGCAAAATGAAAGAAGGTCATGTATGTTTTTGGCCAAAATGCATATTTGACAGGCATTTTAGGTAACCTCATCTCATATTTAAACACAGAGAGAGATGATCAGAGATGAAAAGTATAGTGTACCAGGAGCTTCCTAAGATTAGGTTTCCTATTTCAGACAGGAGAGGTGTGTGTGTGTCTGTCTGTGTGTGTGTATGTGTGTGTATGTGTATGTGTGTGTCTGTATGTGTATGTGTGTGTGTGTGTCTGTATGTGTATGTGTTTGTGTGTGTCTGTGTGTGTGTGTGTGTGTGTGTGTGTGTCTGTATGTGTGTGTGTGTGTTTGTCTGTCTGTATGTGTGTGTGTGTCTGTATGTGTGTGTGTGTGTGTGTGTGTGTGTCTGTATGTGTATGTGTGTGTGTGTCTTTATGTGTGTGTGTGTGTCTGTGTGTGTCTGTGTGTGTGTGTGTCTGTGTGTGTGTGTGTGTGTCTGTATGTGTGTGTGTGTGTGTGTGTGTGTGTGTGTGTGTGTGTGTGTGTGTGTGTGTGTGTCTGTGTGTGTGTGTGTATGTGTATGTGTGTGTGTGTGTGTGTGTGTGTGTGTGTGTGTCTCTCTGTGTGTGTGTGTGTGTGTGTGTGTGTGTGTGTCTGTGTGTGTTTCAGCCCAGATGGAGAGAGCAGTGATGAGATGTTCACTATTGATACCCACACTGAGAATTCAGGTCAGCTGGAGATCCCATTGGGTGCTGGAACGCAGTCTAAAGAGGTGGAGTACTAAGGCATGGACCAGTAAAGGACTAGTGTTGTGTCTGTGCCACTGTCCCTCCAACACTATATTATTGCAAAGATCTTAACCAGAGATGAAGTGGAGGTGCATAGTTAATGTTTCTGTCTCTCTAATGCTCCGCTGAATCTCTCTGCTGTGGAGTGCCGTGGATCTTCTTTTCAATGAAGACTGGATGTAATATGAGTTTATAAGCACAGATCTAACATCAGATTACCGTCCCCAAATCCTAATGTTAGCAATAGGGGTGGGGAACGCAAAACTGACCTTGGATCAGTATCCAGGGGCAACTTCCTCCTACTCTAAGTTAGACGTGTAAAGCACTCTCTTGTACTCTGGCACCATCCTCTGGCCACATTATAGAAAATAAAATGGTTGAATAATACCTGTGGACTTGCTTACAAAAGGAATTTAGAAATCTGTACTCTCTGGAAATGTAACTATGCTATCTCTGCCAGTGTACTCAGAAAGGTGATGCTTTGGCAACAAATTGCATTGGAAATAAATACAATAAACAATATAAAATACATATCAGCTCTCAAATGAATGATTGGGACCAGCAGCCACCTGGATTTAGGAACTAGGGATGTCGGATGAAATGACAACAGCATCTACAGTATAAGATACTAGCGATAAAAAAAAATCCAGCGTTTGCATATGTTATGTTGTGTTATGAGGCAGTCCGGTATAGTTCCTCCTTCCACCTGCAGTCAGAACAGGCTCCGCTGTCTCAGTGCAGAACGTCAGGGTTTAGTGCAAATCTTCTCTCTTTCCGTGTCTAGTCTACTCACTAATCTAGTCAGATCTGTGTGTCGAAATGGAGTACCATTAGTATCCTGTGTAGAATGTGTCTCTGCAGGCATGCATGGGGACAGATTAGAATGGCACACAGTAAACTACAGTAAGCCAGACTCTCCATAGCACATACCGTGTACTGTATAGTCCACATAAATATCCACGTCAACACCCTGTTGCATTAGTCAAAACAGCTCTCTCTCTCTCTCTCTCTCTCTCTCTCTGATGCAAGACAGAGCCTGTCTTTTATCAAACGACTTTCAACTCTGCCTTTCACAACGTCAAACACAACATCCTGTTTCCCACACACTGTGTCAGACATACACTTCAGATATTGCCGTTGTTTTCATGGGAGGTACTGTATATACAAAGCTTTTTACTTTGTAAATAAAGCTCATGACTCCTCACGTATGCCTTTAAATGGGAGTGTGGGTAAAAGAGAAAGAACTTGACGTGTTTTTTGCAGTACGGCTCAGATTTGAAACACTGATATTGATATTGCTCGGCTAGCACAGCCGATCGGCCGTCACAGTTAAAAATGAGTCTGATATCAGGCCACCATTGTGTGGTGACTATGAAAGGTCTCATTATGCTTTTGATTCACACACACACACCAATCGATTTTTTTCTTCTTACCCAAAACCAGGGTGTTTTGTTTCAGTGGCAAGATGCTTACAATTTTCAGAATAGAATAAATCAAGAAACACTGCTCTCCCTTTTTTAGAAAAGGCTCGGAAAGTATCAGAAATGCAGCTCATGCATCTCTATATGTATTGCAGACAAAAGGGGATTCTGTTTGTGTGTGTGTGTGTGTGTGTGTGTGTGTGTGTGTGTGTGTGTGTGTGCGTGACCACGGGTAAAAGGGTGGGTTATGTCTTCACCATTAAGCCTGAAAGTCTCTCAGCAACAGCAACAATGCAGACCCACACATCCCATCATCATTACCATTAGTCCTTTCCCCAACAGCCTCCAGGCAGCGTCTACATACACAACCTCAGACCCAGACAGCATGGAGAGGCATGACCTTTTCTCCTCCACACCTTTTTCCTTCTAGTAGATGTATTAAGTTAAGTTGTCTAGTAGATGTATTAAGTTAAGTTGTCTAGTAGATGTATTAAGTTAAGTTGTCACAGCAGTTCGTCATCTCCCTCTCCAAAGAGAGGCTAGACTTTAGGGTCTGAGGAGTCTGTGTGGTTCTCCTCCTCATCCTCTCCAGGCGAGGGGATCTCGTCCGGCACCCCGTTCAGGTCAGACTTAGTGGGCTGTTTGTCAGATCCCTGGGACCCCTCCCCTGGTCGGGGTAACTGGGACCCGTTCACACAGGAGCCCCCCTCTGACTTCCCAAAGTTAAACAGTTTCCCCGGGTTGAACGACTTGCTCGGCGACTGAGACCGCTCCTGGTTACCGCCGGGGGCGGTCGCGGTCGTCGTGGTATTTGTTGCCGTGGCTGCAGCGGCAGCAGCCGCCGCTTCCTTCTTATTCTCAGGCGACTTGAGGAACTTGAAGCTGAGGAACCCGGGGAGCTTGGGTTCGTTTCCGGTGGGAGACTGAGGGGAGCGCGCGCTGCCGGAGGAGAACTTGCTCTGTAAGGGTGTGATCAGTTTGAGCTTCATCACGTTGTTGTTGGCCAGGAGGGAGCTGGGCCTCTTGGGCTTGTCCCCCCCACCACCCCCCCCAGTACGGGACTTCCCCCCGTGGCTCTTGTCGTGGTGGTGGTCTCCCCCGGAGGAGTCCTTCCCCTCATCTCTCTCCCTCTCCCTGCGAGCCTGGTGCTCCGCCTGCCTCTGCCTCTCCTCCTCCTCTCTCTTCCTCCTCTGTAGCTGTTGATAGTGCTGCTGCGCCTGCCGCTCGTGTTTCTGTAGGGAGATTAACAACCGTTACAGCAACTCACGCAATCACAGTCTGACAAACATGTGCACACTCTGAACCGTGAAACTATCTGGCCTTGATGGTCATATTCAATCTTAACCTCTACCAGGTACAGCCAGAAGAGGATGAGCCAGCCCTCTGAGCCGGGTTCCTCTCTAGGTTTCTTCCTCCTGGAGAGTTTTCCTACCCAATGTGCTTCTGCTTCTGCTTGCTCTTTGAGGTCTAGGCCGGCTTACTGTTTCACTTTGGGTTACTGGGTCACTTTGTAACAACTGGTGATGTAAAAAGGGCTTTATAAATCAATTTGATTGATTATTGCTCAATTGATAGAATGAACTGCTCACAACACCAATGTGATTCAGGCATTGACCAAATAAGCCATTGAAACAATTTACCTTAAAAGCCTCCCTGCGTTGGTACTCCAGTTTGGCCATCTCCTCCCCGACCCAGCTGGGGATGTCTGGGATCGCTACGTGAATGATATACTTCAGCAGGATGGCAAAGTGCTGTGAGAGAGAGACAGAAAGAGAGAGGGGACGGAGGGAGGGAGAGAGAGGGGGAGGGAAAGAGAAAGGGGGAGAGAGAGAGTGAGAGGGGCGGGGGAGAGGAGATATACAGTATATATACTGTACAGACGTGGTCAAAAGTTTTGAGAATGACACAAATACTAATTTTCACAAAGTCTGCTGCCTCAGTTTTGATGATTGCAATTTGCATATACTCCAGAATGTCATGAAGAGTGATCAGATGAATTGCAATTAATTGCAAAGTCCCTCTTTGCCATGAAAATGAAATTAATCCCAAAAAAACATTTCCACTGCATTTCAGCCCTGCCACAAAAGGACCAGTTGCCATCATGTCAGTGATTCTCTCGTTAACACAGGTGAGAGTGTTGATGAGGACAAGGCTGGAGATCACTCTGTCATGCTGATTGAGTTAGAATAACAGACTGGAAGCTTTAAAAGGAGGGTGGTGCTTGAAATCATTGTTCTTCCTCTGTTAACCATGGTTACCTGCAAGAAAACCACGTGCCGTCATCATTGCTTTGCACAAAAAGGGCTTCACAGGCAAGGATATTGCTGCTAGTAAGATTGCACCTAAATCAACCATTTATTGGATCATCAAGAACTTCAAGGAGAGAGGTTCAATTGTTGTGAAGAAGGCATCAGGGCGCCCAAGAAAGTCCAGCAAGCGCCAGGACCATCTCCTAAAGTTGATTCAGCTTCGGGATCGGGGCACCACCAGTGCAGAGCATGCTCAAGAATGGCAGCAGGCAGGTGTGAGTGCATCTGCACGCACAGTGAGGCAAAGACTTTTGGAGGATGGCCTAGTGTCAAGAAGGGCAGCAAAGAAGCTACTTCTCTCCAGGAAAAACATCAGGGACAGACTGATATTCTGCAAAAGGTACAGGGATTGGACTGCTGAGGACTGGGGTAAAGTCATTTTCTCTGATGAATCCCCTTTCCGATTGTTTGGGGCATCCGGAAAACACCTTGTCCAGAGAAGACAAGGTGAGCGCTACCATCAGTCCTGTGTCATGCCAACAGTAAAGCATACTGAGACCATTCATGTGTGGGGTTGCTTCTCAGCCAAGGGAGTGGGCTCACTCACAATTTTGCCTAAGAACACAGCCATGAATAAAGAATGGTACCAACACATCCTCCGAGAGCAACTTCTCCCAACCATCCAAGAACAGTTTGGTGACGACTGATGCCTTTTCCAGCATGATGGAGCACCTTGCCATAAGGCAAAAGTGATAACTAAGTGGCTCTGGGAACAAAACATCAACATTTTGGGTCCATGGCCAGGAACCTCCCAAACCTTAATCCCATTGAGAACTTGTGGTCGATCCTCAAGAGGCGGGTGGACAAACAAAAACCCACAAATTCTGACAAACTCCAAGCATTGATTATGCAAGAATGGTGTGCCATCAGTCAGGATGTGGCCCAGAAGTTAATTGACAGCATGCCAGGGCAGATTGCAGAGGTCTTGAAAAAGAAGGGTCAACACTGCAAATATTGACTCTTTGCATAAACTTAATGTAATTGTCAATAAAAGCCTTTGACACTTATGGAATGCTTGTAATTATATTTCAGTAAACCATAGTAACATCTGACAAAAATATCTCATAACACTGAAGCAGCGAACTTTGTGAAGACCAATATTCCGACTTGAAGATCACTGACATCATGAGTCAACCTTGTTTTTTTTTTTAAGTTCCCAGTTGTCTTGAAAGCACCATAAATCCAGAGAATGCCAGGCTTTGATGACAAAGTTTGATGACAAAATTAGTTTTGGCATGTCGGTTAGGACATCTACTTCGTTCATGA